CCCCATGACCCTGAGGGAGAAGCAGCTTAGAAGATGTGTGTGTGTGTGTGTGTGTGTGTGTGTGTGTGTGTGTGTGTGTGAAACATTCAGTTCATAGCATTATTAAATTAACACAAAATTACATGGTGCAACTGAAAAAGAGGTTCATCACAGAGCTGGCGGTGTCTCTGGTGCGGAGGGATCGCTCTGCAGTGGAAGCAGTCTGTGCACTTGTGTTGCAGTCTACCCGGTATTTTTGGACAGATTTGGCTGTTATGTTTCCTTTTTTTCTTTCTTTTGATTTCATCCTCCTCATTCTCCTCCTTGAGCTTGTTGTCTAAAAACATCAACAAAAACAAGAAATGAGTAAACAAACATGAACAGTTTTGCATTTTCATCTCTGGTATAACTAGTCATAACTTGTCAAAACCAATATAAACAGAAAAATTAAATGCTACTACAATGTATGTGGATACATTTGAATTTTGACTACTAACATACACTGTAGAGATATATAAGTGCAATACATTTGAGCATTGAAGTATTAATGAAAGTTTCAGCTTTGCAAACCATTTTAAACTGAACACACATCACAAGGTTAGTTGCAGAAATACCTGTGTGTGGCTTGACCTAAGAACAACACCGGTGTGGAAAGTTCGGTTCATTTTACTGAACCGGTTCTTTCGAACTTATGAATCGAGCGTCCGATTCAACTGATTTAATAATTCCGTGTTATGATTTTATAATCTTCATTATAAAGATTAAGATTATACATGCGATTGAGCGTATTATGCTGGGTATATACGTTACGAAGAAAAGTTTTGTTCGTCCGAATGTCTGAATCGGTTCCAATGATTCTTTGAAGCGAAAAGAATCGGTTGGTGGAATGAATCGATCTTCCCATCACAGCACGTTTAGCTGAACATCGATAACCAGCTCACCTCAGCTGGCTGGACCGGGTCTGTTATCGCCATCCGTTCTGCCCCGCTCACTGCCTGAATCCTCGTGTTTCTCCTGCTCTTCTCGGCCCGTCAGCGAGTATCTGGTGAACTTTGCAGGGTAACTGAACCGTGAACGCTCCGAACTGCCTAATGGGAACTCATCTGCGCGCGCAGGACGCAGGAGCAGTCTCACCCATGATTGGCTGGTGAGGAGAACTGGTTTAAACCGATTGGCGGGAAGAAAGTGGGAGTTTTGCGCTTCAGCACAGACGGACTCGGCGCATGTAGTCCAGTAAGATCCCAGCGTGCTGACCGTATATATGAGAGGAAACACATCAGCCAAATCTGTCCAAAAATACGGGGTAGACCGCAACACAAGCGCACAGACTGCTTCCACTGCAGAGCTATCAGAACCAGAGACACACTCACACACTCACACCTAGGGGCAATTCAGCATGTCCAGTTGGCCTGACTGCATGTCTTTGGACTGTGGGAGGAAACCGGAGAACCCTGAGGAAACCCACGCAGACACGGGGAGAACAGGCAAACTCCACACAGAAAGGACCCTGGTCGCCTGGCCGGGGAATCGAACCCAGGCCATTCTTGCTGTGAGGCGCTGAATGTTTCACATTTACAGAAAAATGTATCTATGTTTTTTTTCTGTTTCTGCTGGGTAGCTGAATGTGTAGGTATACATTGTTTATTGTTGAACATTGTGTAGTGCTTTTAGATTATAGCATTAAAGTATCTAGTACTTTACTAATACAGTACTACTCTTTCATTTTACATCAGGTATATTAAATTTACTAAACAACACCTTATACACCTTTAGTAGTGTTTAATAGATGTTAGTAAAGTATTTTAAGACATTATTGGTTTTAACATAAAGCATGTTTTGCTCTCTGAGTAGTTTCCTTTGATGACAATGTCTGTTTATACGATCATGTTTATATTTACAATTTCTAAATGTATGATGACTTCCTAAAAATGTCCCGTTCACACTCACACAGGCATGATGAAATTTGGAATAAGGAAGAGAAACTGGGTAGGTGAGTAAATCATTTCAGTATGCTGCCCCATCCAGGCCTGACTGATATGACTGAGAGAATGGTATGTATAATTCCTTCTTGCAATACACACATCAGCATATCTAACATACATCAGAATGTAGCATATTAAAGTAAGCTTTTATATATAAAATAAAATATTACCTTGTGCTCATTTACATACATGAGTAATGAGTAACTTGGAAAGGTCCAGTCAAGCTCAGTACATCCAGAATCTCTCAGCAGAGGAACTGAAGACTGTATTATTAGCTTTTTATTCCCTTTTGCATCTAAAATAAAATATGAAAGCTCCAAAGTGAGAGGTGAGCAACAAAGCAGCAAAACAGGAGCTGAACCACCTCAACGAGACGACACAATGAAACCCCAACAAGCAACGAAACCTAAATGACTGAAATGGAGCTGAGGGAAAAGCAGTAGGGAGGAGTAAAGGTGTTACCATTTAAAAAGTACAAAATACTACATCAGTAAATGGAAGTAAGTGAATAAATCAAGTTAGTGGCTCCCACTGGTAAAGTGTCATTTCAGCCAGTTAAACTATTACTTAACATTGCTTTTTCAAGCGTTATGTATAACTGCAGTACATAAGCAAAACACTGGAACATAAACTAATGAAGCTGTAACATGTTCAGTTAACATTAGTTAACCATTATCAATGTAGAACCTTAGTTGTTGTTCATGTTAATAAATGCATTACTTAATGTTGATGAGTCAACACTTCACATGAAAACAACATTAACTAATGCAGTTGTTACATGTTTACTTAACATTAGGTAACCATTGTTAATGCATTACTTCATGTGTTGTTCATGTTAACTAATGCATTCCTTCATGTTAGTTAGTCAACACTTAATGTAAAGTGTTACCAAAATCTAAATTGTAGAAACCTAATCATGAATTATATTTTCTTAATTATTCTTTACTTATTTGATACTTATATTAAGCATTTAATTAAACATTTCATTGTCATTCTGAATACTACTTGGTGATTGTCGATTCCATGTTTTAAATGGTTAAGTAGTAATTTACTATCTTGTTACACTTAGTGATGCATAAACTTTGATGAAGACAAACTTTGCCTTAATGCTTAATTTATCATTAATAAGTAGATAATATACACAATAACTTCATGAAAATTGTCACTTTATGTGTTTCTAAAAATATATTAGAGTACATATTACCAGCATTAAATTATTTGTACATCACTGGTTAATGCTAGTAATTCAAATGACAGCACTTATTAATACACAGCTAACAATTAAGTTATTATTAACTATCATTAACAAACTATTAAATAATGATTAAGAAGGTGTTTATAGGGGCCTGCCATTACTGATGCTACAGATTACTGATGTTAAGTGTTAATGATTATTATTATTTTAGAATTGTGTGTAAGGATGAAGGTGTTTTTGTCTTACTTTTCACACCTTTCTAACTTTATTAATCCCACTTAGGTGTATTTAAAATAAAGACACTACTACATGCTCAAAAACCCCACACATTTCCATTCAATCAAACTGATTTTAGAAGGTGTACACAGAATTTGTTACCTCAATGTAAAGATTATGTATCATGGTTGCTGGTGTATCCCACATGAAGATCAAACTAGCAATCCCCACGTTAGAAACCCAGCGAGCTATAGTATAAGCCAACCAGGTGCAGAGATAGACTCAAGTACAGATCAGTCGAGACTCGAGAACGGGAAAGAAAATGAGAGAAAAGCAAGGTAGTACCGAGCGCCACTCAAACTCAGAACCTCGCAATGCAGGGTGAGTGCATTACCGCTAAACTACTGCAGCACTGCTGAGAATTGCCTCATGGAAGAGTTGATAAACAAAAGGCCAAACAACAGATCAGGCCAGAGCAGCGTCTTCAAAACAAAAAAGATTCTGAAAAAGGAGAAGGCAGTGAACAGAATAGGACACTCTTATACAAGGAAAACAACTGAGAGAGAACCCAGAGTTTATCAAAAACCTGAGACCCAAGAGAAGACCCATTTACTGGCTTAGCAGAGAGACATGCACGAGGCAGCATAAGCTAAAGACTGAGGCTGGGTTGTTACATCCCTCCCCCTAGAAAGCGCTCCCACTGTTCCCAAACCTGCAGCACGGACTCTTTTGAAGGCTCTGATGATCTCCAGGTCCAAGATGTGCCGAACCGCGACCCAGCACCGCTCCTACGGCCCACATCCCTCCCAGTCCACCAAGTTCTGGGTACCACACTGCCCTCGCTGACAGTCCAATAATTGCCGGACAGTGTAAACCGGGGATCAGGTTATCACATGTGGAGGTTTTATAGCTAGTTTAGAGCTACAGAGAAACAGCTTAAGAAGAGAGTCATGGAACATCAGGTTAATGCGCATAGTGTAAGAAGCTGGAAGGATACTAGGTTAACCCATTTTATAACCTTAAAAGTTCCCGCATATCGTGGGGCGAGCTTCTGAGACTTCACTTTCAGTGATGGGTCCTTAGTGGAGAACCAGACCTGCTGTCTGGGATGAAACAAGTGATATAAGTGCTATTTAGTCAGCTACTCTCTTTTGCAGTGCAATGCAGGCCTTCTGCTAAGCCTGCCAACATCGTTAAACATAGTCATGGGGTGCGGGGACCTCTGCTTTGGACTCCTGCTCTGGAAATGTGTGGAGGGTCTCCAAATGGCGACATTCCCAGAGAGGAATGCCACAGGAATTTATGGGCATACTCTGCCCAGAGCAGGTGCTCAGACCAGGTGGGAGGTCTAGTAGATGCCAGGCATCTAAGTGTCCTTTTGAGGTCCTGGTGTATTCTCTCACTCTGCCCTTTAGACTGAGGATAAAAGCCCAAGGACAAACTTACAGAGAAACCCCATAACTGACAGAATGCCCTCCAAAACCGACCGGTGAACTGGGGCCCACGGTCAGATACCATGTTCGTAGGGAACCCATGGACTCTAACCAAGTGTTTTAAAGCAGCTTGGCTGAGGGGAGTTTTGACAAAGCCATACATTTACAAGTTTGGAAAATCTATCTACTATGACCATGATCACCATGCTGCCCTGGGACGTGGAGTCCATGGAGGTCATTGACCACAGCCAGGATGGTTTGGGCAGGGACTGGAGCAACCTGCTGGTGGTGTCCTAGGCTCTTTATTTTGAGCACACACTTGGCAGGCTGCTACATAGGCTCATATGCCCTTTTCCATGTTGGGCCACCAGATGCGCCTTTTAAGCAACTCCTGGATGGTGATTTCCAGTCCCCAACATAACACGGTGACAATTTGGGCTTCCAGAATAATAGACTCTGGAGACAGTGTGTGGCATAGTCTGGAGAATGCATCGGGCTTGATGTTCTTCGAGCCGGGCCAATAGGAGATGACGAAAGCAAATCAACTGAAGAACATTGCCTACTTGGCCTGATGTGGATTAAGCAAAGCCCAGAAAGCTTCAAATTAAATGAGAGACATTGACCACTTAGTGCTGGCCTGGATTTTCACCAGTTCCATGCTCAGACAGTTCCTGGGGACTTTGAACCCAAGAAAGCTGACCAACTGAGCATGAAAGATGGATTTCTCTAGTTTTACCTAGAGGTGGTTTTCTAGTAAAAAGCTGGAGTACTCGGCATACATTAACTACGAGCTCCTCCACGGAGTGGCTATAGATGAACACATATTGGTTTGATTGAGATTGAGTTTCACGCAGTACCTTGTTAATAAAGTGTTGGAAGGCAGCGAGCGTGTTCAATAAACCGAAAGGCATCTGTAAGTCAGCATCTGTAAAGTATCTGTAATTATCAGATGTGGTAATGAATGCTGTTTTCCATTCGTACCCCTGGCGTGCCTGAATAAGGTTGTAGGCACTGTGCAGATCCAACTTAGCAAAAATTGAGGCCTGCTGCAGTGTCTTGAACACTGAGGTCATCAGCGGCAATGGTTAAGGGTCCTTAACCGTGATTTTTGTTTAGTTCCCTATAGTCAATGCAGGGATGGTCACCATCCTTTTTCCCCACAAAGAAAAAAACGACTCTGGCTGGTGAGATGGATGGTCGAATGAACCCTAGTGTTAGTGTCTCCCTGACGCATTACTCCATAGCTGTTTTCTCAGGACCCGAAAGAGAATATAGCCTCCCTCGGGGAGGGCTGGTGACTAGGAAGAGATCATAGGACCTGTGTGGAGGTAAAATTCAGGCCTTCCCTGAAGCTCAGAACAGTGGAAATGACTGGGCTGAACATGGTTCACAGACTGCTGGACTCCAGAAGGAGAGAAGGGGTTCTCCAGTACCTGGTCAACTAGTGGTACTGTCACACTTTCCAGTCCTCCCATGAACTCTCAATCTTATGGATTCCGTTTTCCAGAATGCATCTTTCAGTCACATGAAACAGCCATTCAATTACCAACCAGTTTGCAGATCATTGTCACTTAAATTCGAATTCATTTTATCTGTGTCTAATAGTATTTATGCCTGTTTGTCACAAACTTTGTGAAAGACTGCCTCTGTGTTTTCCAGTACATACCACTGCCTGGTTTATTCACCAGACATTACATGTACGGCAATCAGTTCGTCATCGGTTAAAAAATGAAAATAGCAATATTTTAAATGAAAATATTCTATGGTATAAAAACATTGAATTTGACCGTCAGTAGCTAGGAACAAATCAGAAATTTGAAGTGGAAGTCCTAATTATAGTGCAGTGATTATGGATTTTGAACGTGAGTCTGCAAGGTGTTTAGATGTGCAGGTTTGTTTTGCTTTTCTCTCTAACCTATTGCTAACCAGCAAAGATACTTTCTCTGGATAGACAAAGCAATTTTTCTAAGTCACTCTGGATAGGAGTGTCTGCTAAATGCTGTAAATGTAAATGATTACAACAGTCGCTGGTGCAAGTGCACTGCAAGAGTCTTCAAAACAAGCGAGAACACTGCCGTTCTCATAATACTGAAGCAAATTATGATAATTTAAACATATGCCTCTGGCTAAAATGTCTTTTAGATTATAAGAAAACACTGATTATGAGAAAACATTGAGCTGTTGTGTTTTGTAATATACTGTAACATTCTCACACTATTGCTTAACTTAAAAAAGAATTATATATGCGTGGATTGAATTAATCAAAAAAGGCAGAATATGTGGTCAGCATTAATGGTTCCCACTAATACCCCTCCACGCACCATGACAGATGCTGGATTTAGAACTTTACACTGGTAACAATCTGGATGCTCCTTTTCTTCTTTGTCCTGGAGAACAGAAAGTCCATTATTTTCATAAACAACCTGAAAGGTTGACTCATCAGGCCACAGTACACGTTTCCACTAAACGTCAGTCCATTTCAGATATGCTCGAGCCCAGAGAAGTCAGCGGCGTTTCTGGATATTGTTTATGCCTTTCACTGTACATGTATTTACTTACATTTGTGGAAGCGGTCAGAGAAGTGTTTAATGACAACAGTGTGTCAAAGTATTCCTGAGCTCAAGTGGTGATGCAGTGAAGTCTGCAGGGTCAAAGATCTCAGAAATTCAGTTTTTCAGCCTTTTCCTTTACCCATAAACATTTCTTTCTCAATCTTCTCTCAATTGTTTGATGATATCATGTATTGTAGAGGGTGAAATACCTAAAATTAAATCAGATGCTCACCAGGGAATTTTATTTTTGAACTGTTGAATTTTTAGCTGATGTCTTTTCAGCATGGTAAGCCTCGACCCATCCTTGCTCATTAAGGCCTCTGTCTTTACTGGATGGTCCTTTCATACCCAAACATGAATGAGCAATGAAAGACTATATATTTACAAAAAACAATGAAAATGTAAAAAACATTGAAAACAACAGTTGATAAGTTGATAAAGAACAAACAAATAACTGCTTTCAGTTTTTATTTTCCTTTCACATACAGTGAAGTACTTGGAATTGAGTTTTTCAATGTACACTTAAGTGCAAAAAAAATCAGGCCTAACCCAAAAGGGCAAAACATTAAGCTTTTAATCGTCTTAACAATAAATCTTTAAACAAATGGTTGCAGTAAGTTGGTAAAGAAAAGCTTTTCCCTTTGATTTCTTTAAATGTTGAAGTCTTGTGAGCAAACTTCTGCACAATTTTCACACAATTGGCCACATGATTATTGCATGAATAAGTGGGCGTGTACAGGTGTTGCTGTTCCGTCTGCTGGAGAGTCAGTCTGTGATTTTATTTGCCCTCTCACCTGGCAGGTGTTCAGAGCTGCTACAGGTACGCTTCCTCACTCTCACTCTGTTTATTACAGTAACTAGTGCCTCTTATTCTCTGTATATTAGACTTTCAGCTCACAATCACTTTACATTATCACTTATATTATTTATTATAAAGATCAGTCTGTTTTTAGTCAGTTATGGTGTTAAGATGTGAGCATGCTGTTCAGAGGTTCTCTGGATGATCCCCAAAACAGTGTCTTAAATTTACATAATTAAAATCAGATGCACATGATTATAAACAATAATGTTTCTGTGTTGTTGTCTTTTTTAAAATTATGTACAGTATGAAATGTTCTTTACATTTCATGATGCATGTGACAAAAATCGCTACGGTAACATACAGTTGTACCCAAAAGTCTGAACATTGCTGGTCAAATTACACGTTTTCCTGATTGTCTAAACACTTTAATGTAGAGTTACAATTTGCTGAGATTAATATATTTGGGGGAAAAAATGAAAACAAATAATATTAAAATTGTCAACACTTTTGCACAGGCCATGTTTTATTTTTCCCCAATAAATATTTGTGTATTAAAATGTAGAAGATGTGTTAACTTATTTACACTATAAATCAACAGCAAAAACGTAGACTTTGATCAGGGGTGTGAACATTTTTTCAAAAATAAATTTGCCTAATTGTGTTGAAGTCTATTACTGCATTCCATTCTGAAGGCAGTTGCCTAACAAGTATCTGGCTTGAAAAGTTCCTGTTTTTTTGGATCAAAGAATCTTCGCAGGTGTGTTTTAAGAGTGAATTTCTTCTTAAGAATGTTTGGTAAACAAGATCCATTTATCTCTGAAGGTGAAATAAGATCTTAAAAATGATTTATCTCAACTATTTTTCTGGGGCATGTAGCAAAAACGTCAAATCATTTATACAGTGAATGTGATCACATGTTCTGATTCTGTGCTGATCATTTAATGTTTGTTTTGTTATAGAGCGAATTCTTCTCCTCGTCATGAGGGCACAGCTCATTTTCCTGCTCCTCTGCCCGGGAGTGTTGGGCTTCGGTATGTTTATCAGTCACTCTTTCAGAAATGCTTTGTGCGCTGTTGTATGTTTCCATCTCAATTAAACTGATTAAAGAACATTATCATAGCTAAAACAGTAGCAGTCATGAATTTTATGTGCACTTTAGTCCATGTTTATAGATATCAGTGTTTCATACAGTGGCACAAACTACATAATCAAGTCTATTAAACATACCGAAAACCTCCACACAGTTAGAGACATGTGAGCACCGTACTAATTGGTGGGATATTACCTGATTTACATTAGTAATTTTTACAATATGCTTCCTTAGTAATCTACTAATCATTAAAGGGCAAATTACATTGTAATACTGCAATTATCTAAGATGAAAGATGTGTCAGACTTCATTGCTAATGAACAACCATGTAAAGAAATTATTCACTTACCCAGCAGTTCAAATCAGATACAGTAAATTTACAGAATTAATTAGCAGCCATTTGTAGTATTTTATGATACTGAAGAAGACACAGAGGTTCCACACAAACTGTCGAGCTTTCTTTAAAGCTTTTTTCATTCAGCTCCAGCCTTGCCACACATATAGGCCCAGTCCCATTTCACCCCTCACCCCTACCACTTAGCCCTTAGCCCTCTGTTTTGCGTGTTCACGTCTAGGGGGGGAGGGTGTCCCAATTTTTGTTGAGATAGAGGGGTGGGGCGAAGTGTTAGGGCTACATGGCCCTCCAAACAGAGAATATTCAGAGGCACAGAGTGTTATTAAAAAAAGAAAAGAAACACCGGCAAGATGGCTGTGCGAGTGACCAAAGAAACCCAAAAATATGAGAAATTTCTCTGTTGAAAAATTGTGATAACCACTGTATTATCTTAGTTTAATGTTGTTTCAGTGTATTATGGTTGTTTTCTTCGTAACAAGCATAAAAAAAAGCATAGCTCCCACCCCATGGGTGCAAAGCGGTACTACACCATGACACTTCACCTGTTTTTCACGTTTCTGTATTTTAGTATTTTATACTAACGTTGTTTGCTATCCGGTGTCGACCAGAGGAGAATGGGTTCCCCTTTTGAGTCTTGGTGTAATGAAGACTCTCCAGATGGGTTTGAAACCATAATTCCCGTTTACTCAAAACACTATCAAAATCATAAAAAGCAGAATCAGAATCAGAGACAGTCCAAAAAGTAAAAAAAACAAAACAGAATAGATCACAACACAGCAAATGTTCAAAAAGCAAAAGCAAAAATGAAAAAAAACAATCCAAAAATTCAACAGACATAAAGAAACCAGGCTTGGTGTGCAGACGAACTGGCAATGCTGTGCTGAAATCCAGTGTTTGTGAAGATCTTTATAAAGGGAGGTTAACAAGCTGCAGGTGAGAGAGGTTAAGGTGTCACTAGGAAGCTGATTAGTACTCAGGTGAGGCTGACCTCTGGTGACGAAGGCAAGTATTACACCTGACACTTGGGTGCTCTCAAGGTTTCTTCCTGGCCGCTGTCGCCATTGGCGACGCTCATGGGGGCTTGGACCTGGATTTTTCTGTAAAGCTGCTTTGTGACAACACCTGCTGTAAAAAGCGCTACATAAACAAACTTTGACTTGACTTGGTATCAGAAAGGGAAATGAGATATTGTGCTGTCATTACTGAATGTGCATCAGCTCTGCTAGTGAACTCTTGTCTATTCGCAGGTTCAGCAGCCTGTACCGTTGGCTACATCACAGCTGAGGCGATCGCAAATGATACATTTTATTTAGGCTACAACTCCACCGAGTTTGATTTGTGTCTGAACAACACTGTGCTGATCAACAACCTGAGATCCATCACTTTTAAAGTGGTGGACCCCAGCCTCCAGAGGGTCATTCTGAACAAATTAAACCAGGTCAGCATTACTGAGTACCATCTGTACAGATCCAGAGCTTTTATAGTGAGCTTGTAAAGTTTGCATTTGCTACTTTTTATTTAATGTGATGATATACCATCAACATAACATGCAGCGATTCAGGAATGTTTATTGTTGTGTCTTAAAAACAAAATCATAAAAAAACAATAGAAGAGTGAAAACTCCTCAAGCTGTTTCCTCGATAACGCCAAGTCCTCTGCACTTCACTGTCTTCTTATGTTTTCTGCTTGTCTCCTCTGTAATGGTTAGCTAACATTTTGTCTGTAGTTTTACCACCCATTTCCAAAAAAGTTGCTACGGAAAATGTAAAAACAATGCAATAATGTGCAAATCATTTCAACCCTATATTTAACTGAAAATAGCACAAAGACAACAAATGAAATGTTGAAACTGAGAAATTTTATTTTTGTCTGAAAAATATATGCCCATTTTGAATTTAATGCCTGGACTATGTTTCAAAAACAGTTGGGACGGGGCAGCAAAAGGACTCGTAAAGTGGTGTAATACTAAAGGAAACTCCTGGTGGAACATCTTACAACTAATTAGGTTAATTGGCAACAGGTCAGTAAGATGAATTGGTATAAAAAGAGCATCCCGGCGAAGCTAAGACTTTCAGAGGTAAAGATGAGGAGGAGTGCAGCACTCTGTGAAAGACTGCACCATCAAATAGTGCAACAATTCAAGAACAACGTTTCTCAACCTAAAATAGCAAAGAACTTGGCAATTTCATCATCTACGGTACAAAATATCATTAAAAGATTCAGAGAATCAGAGAAATCTCTGTGTGTATAGGACAAGACTGAAAACCAGTGTTTGCTGGCTGTGATCTTTGGGCCCTCAGACAGCACTGCATTAAAAACAGACATGATTCTGCAGTGGAAATCACTGCATGGGCTCAGAAACACTTCTGAAAACCACTGTCTGTGAACACAGTTCATCACTGCATCCACAAATGTAAGTTAACCCTCGCAAAAAAGCGCAAAGACGAAATCATAAATAAACAGGACCCAGAAACACATTCGTTGTATGTAGGATTTGGAGTAACATAGGCTGCCATCCAGACCGCATCTTCTTTAATGGAAGGCCTTGATTATTTCACCAAGACAATGAAAAACCACTTTCTGCATGTATTACAGCAGCATGGCTCTGTAGGAAAGAGGTCCGGGTGCTAAAGCGACATGCCTGCAGTCCAGTCACCCACTGGAACAACCCCCGGACTGTGGAGCTACAGAAGTCTTATATCAAGCAAGAGCAGGAAAACATTTCACTCGATTCAGTACCTGCTCTTTTGTAAATACAACAAATCTGTCTCATACGCTAAGTAAATATGCAAATAGAGTGGGATTAAAATGCTTAATTAAATCTATAAAACTACAGCAGTGTCTCCTCAGTTCCCAAACACAGAGGTGATGAAACACAGTGGTAAACAGGCCCCCGTCCCAACTTTTTGAAATGTGTTGCTGGCGTCAATTTTAAAATGGGCCTATATTTATCAAAAAATAATCACATTTCTCAGTTTCAGCATTTGATACGTTGTGTGTGTTCTATTTTCAATCAAATATAAGGTTTAAGTGATTTACACATTATTGCATTCTGTTTTTATTTATATTTGTTTTTATCCAGTGATCTAACTTTTTTTGAAATGGGATTATCAATTTTAAAATCTGAATAGTCATTCAGTGAAACTCAGCCCTAAAACTAAAACAAAAACCTGACTCGAGCCCCCCAGACCCTACAAACATTTTTTTACTCAACAGTAGGCTCAGTTTGGGCTGGTTTTCGTTTGAGTGCTTTTTTGTGTAAACTGTAAAAACTTGAATTTGGAAATTTAACTTAACCACCCTACATTTTTATTTTATTGCACTTTGAATTAAACAGAATGTAGCTAATATAGTTCTGTTAACTTACTGTTTAGGTTTCAGTGAACTTTAAATTTTAAAACACCATTTCACATTTGTGAGTGAAAATGATTGTTGTTTTGCAGTACATTTGCCTTTTTTTACAGAAATTTCAGGCACACATTTTCCCCCTTATACTCTCTCTTTCTTGCTCTCTTGCACCCACACTCTCTCTCTCAGATTAAAAATGAACCAATCCTACCTGAGAACAATGTATACGTGGCCTAATATTCTTATGAGCATGTGATTGACAGCCCTCAGTCCGTCATTCCCAGCCTGCTGCAGCATTGAAGGAGAACTCAGTGCTGTTGAAGGAGAAAGAGGCATTTGAAGAGTTCATTTGCATAGGCAGGGATTATATATATATATATATATATATATATGGGGTGATAAACCACATCAGCCTTTCTATTGAAAAGGATATTATGTACGCACTACTAAAGATCAGTTTCCATCAAGAGAGGAAAATGTTGGCAACACTCATTGGTATATAGGTCTGTCCTTAAAGTGCAATTATGTCCCTCAAGTGAGTTTTTAAGGTACGAAAAAGGGACATCTGTGTACGGTGTCAAACTGTTCAACGGCTTTTTAAATATAAAGATGAAACTAAAAAAAATCTGTAGTCATAATGAGTCAAGGCAACTTAAAAAGAAATAGATTTCCTGAATAAGAAGAAAAATAAAAAAAGACAAAGGAAATAGGGAAGTAAGAAAAACTGTAAGTAAGGAAGATAAGCCGGATAGAAAGATGGAAGAAAAACTTAAGTGAGGTTTGTGTTATGGTGACTGTGTGTGTGTCTGTGATGTTTACAGCTCTACCCATCAGGCCTTCCAGACAGTGTGTTGCAAAACCTGGGCTCCACAGCTCAAGTGGCCAATATTACTGAGATCAACAAGTGGAGCATCACCACAACAGTTACTCTGTCCTTACTGTTGGGCCCTGGTATAGGCTGGACCTCAGAGCAGGTAGCATGTCTAAGTGTATCTATTTGGGACGTTCTGGGTTTTTGGTGTTGCAGTGTGGGCTAAAACATTACTACAGGTACCAGCTGATGATTATACCACTGCTGCCTGTGATTTCACAGACATCCACTAGGTGGAGCCAGTAACATAGAGAAACCATCTCAACATGTCTATATTCCTCATATGTGTTGTTTTTTGGATGAATTTGTGCTAAAAGTGAATGCAGGTGATATTGCGATACTGGGGTGCATAAATGTGACAGTGCACCATTGAGAACAGACATTCGCAGTGAAATGTTGACAGAGCGTATTGCAGGAATTGGGGAGTAGCTAAGTGCGCGCTACTTTTTGTAGTTAGATACAAATTTTAGTAGCCAGTAGCTGGAGCCGCTACAGTTTTATGAAATGTAGCTAACAGCTGTAGCGCCTACAAATTTTTCTGTAGCTATAGCGATAATTTTTGCCACAATTTCACTACAGGCTTCAGGCGATCCACGCGGCCGTTCACTGGGCTGGTGGTGACTATGCAGTAATGACTGAGCCGCGGACAGTTCGAGCAAACGGTCACACGCTGATCACCCCTTAGTAAAAGGCTTAGCTCAGGGGTCGCAACCCAAATGTTAAGAAGAGCCATTTTGTCCTTTCAAAATATTGAAACCACCTTGGGAGCCACATTTTATGTCTGTTTTACCATCACTGTTGTAAGTATGTCTCTGATGTGCTAGTAATGGCTAAAAATTAAATAAACGAAAACTGTAAAATATCTCAATCGTCAACTTTTTACGAGCCTGAAGTCGCTTCTCATTCTCCTGGTTCTCGTACGAATTGTCCCGTTCCACCTTAAATGGTGCCTGAGGCGCCAGATTGTACTGATGCACCACTTAAGGTGGAACGGGACAATCTGAATGAGAAGGGGAAGAATGAGAAGCGACTGTTGCAGATTCCAGTTGTTGCTGCAGCAGTATGGAGCCCCTAAGGGGCCGTGGCTTAAAAAAAAGCTAATAACATTGCATTCCCTCGCAAAATACATGCTTGTCAGACAGCAAGCAAACGTAGGAGCAGAGGTGCCCAACGGCATTGCCTCCATTAGAGCTTTGTTTTTAGCATCGCTAATGTTGAAAACTGTTTGGCCAGTCTGTGCTGAGTTTATTCAGCAATTGTCTTCTGCAGTCTCTGTAAATGTAGCTTTTACTGTACGAGGAGCCTCGATCTCAGTTTCACTAAGAGTCACTAACAGCAGAATCATGTTTGATTTCGAGAAGCGACACTGTGTGTTTATATTTCAGTCCAAGATAAATGTAAATTCAATGAGCTGCTCCGTCTCTGAGCTTAAGCAAAGCACAGCTTTTGCAAGCGAATGCAAACCGTTTGCATCTTAATGCGAAATATTTGCAAGGGAACGCAAAACCTTTGCGAGGGAACGCAGTGTCATTAATGCCTTTTTTTTTTTTAACCACGGCCCCTTAGGGGCTCCGTACAACAGCTCTGTAGCAGTGGAGAGATTATTCAGCTGCGCAGGGCTGATTCTCACCCCAAACAGAGCCAGGGTCACCGATGAGAATTTTGAGGCTGAGGTGTTGCTGAAGTTTGATAAAGGACTCTGAGTGTTGTGTCTGTCTGTACATCTTGCTGAAATGTTTCAATTGGAGCAGTTTTATTTCAACAGTTCACAATTCTTTGCACAAAGTTGTTTGGTTTGTATAGTTACTATTGTTGATTTTTGTAAGGAAAAACCTGGACTGATTGACTTTGCCTTTACTTAGTCTAAAGCTTTGTTGGATATCACGCCTTTGGTTGTGCAAGTTTGATTGTTGGTTACACTCAAACTCACTTTTTGGTGATCTTTTTGTTTATTTGCAGCGTTTCAGTTGTGTTTCTTTCTGGCTCCTGATTAAATGCAGTGTCTTGTTCACACTGTCAGCTGGGCTTGTTTGGTGTCTCAGGTGGACATTCACAAACAATGACAGTCACGCTTTGAAAGTAGCCACTACTTTTTTCTGGAAATGTAGCTAAATTGTAGCTAACTACATTTTTTTCAGTAGATATCCCAACCCTGGTGTATCATCACACCCCTGAAAATGAATGATATGTTTGTGATTGTGTTGCAGAGTAAAGCAGTGATTATGAGGTATCTGAGCGTGCCTGGTAAGAGTCTGGGACGCAGTGAGTTCATTGCAATCCTCTCCTACCTCTGTTCTTTGGATGTCAGTGTCCTCCAAACCATCTCTCCTAACAGCATGGTGTATGTACACCAGCACACACATATGCACACGATTAGACAATTATGTGTATACAGACCTGCACCTAAAGTATGCTCCTTAAGTTGTGTATTATCTGTGGTCTGTTCTGTGTTGTTTAGGTGAAGTAGACATTCTTTTTTTTTTTTCTGTGCAGATTTGGAAGTGCATATACTGTGGACCTATCCTCGTGCTCGGTTGATCAGAAATCAGTTCTGTACAGCATCGCCAACTCCTCACTCAGGACTCTTTTCGGCATTCCACCAATATACTACTTTTTTATCCAACATTATCTGGGTAAAGTGGACACACAGTTATCACCTCCCTAGCAGTGCTGCTGAAGAAATGCTGCCCTCTAGAGTTTAGATTAGTTCCAGCCATTCCTCATCCTGTTACTCAAGGTCATCAGAATATTTATTCCAAATTTATTAAAACTAAACTTTGAAGGGGTCTGGGGGCGTTTCTGGGCTGCTGGTATCGCTGTAGCCAAGCTATTTTGCTAGATTTGTTCACTTAATTAATTTTAACATACTCTGAGGGCTGGATGTACATAAAGGAAATGGTGCACTGCAAATATGACTTAATGCAGCTGGGACAGGCGCCTGCAATTTAATCTAAACCTAATCTTTAATCTGCCGTGGCTGTATCTAGTCACATCAGATGCACACAGGACCATCTGCTATTCGCTATGTTTGTGGAGCTTTAAAAGGAAAACTCAGGGTAAAAAAAAAGTTGAGTGATGTCAATAAATGAAGTTGTTGCCTATCAAAGCATTTCACTCAGCTTCTGTTACACTGTCAGCTCTGGATTAAGTGGTTAATGGTTTACTGGTAAACTCAGATTGCAGAAATGCCTCTCTTGTGGTTTGGCTGGATTTGAGTGCAGCTTTCGACTACAAGGTCTTGCTCATGACATTTAAAGCTCGGGTCCCAGAGCTCCGGCATGTCTTAGTGATCTGCTGAAGTGCTATAGCCAGTCCAGCCACTTCACTCAGCTGAGGCAGGCTTGTTTCACACGTGATCTCTGTGCAGCCTGAGTGACATGGAATGTGTTTCTTTTCATTTCAGCGCTCATGTTAACAGATCAGAGCTTCCAAACAGGCTGCATTTTTTCAATATGCCACACGCACCAGAAAAGAAAATATTGTGAAATAAGTAAACTGAAAATAAAACATCAAAACTGAATAAAATTCTCAAATTTCATGACCATTATCAAAAGTTAGTAGTTAAACATTCTGTGCTGCATCCAGGTTTCCTGGTAGGTCTACCAGACTTGGAATAGTTTCCCAGTCACAAATCTGAAAGCTGTTGAGGGTAAACAAATGTACTATTCTCTTCCATGATTTTTTTATTGAGCACATTGTCTAGGTTGACTTGTTTATCAATTTGTAAAAGGATTTTGTTTGAGCTGTAGAGGTCATGCTACAAGGGCTTTCATGTCACACAGAGGTAGTCTGTCTAAAATCAGCCTTACTGTGAACTCCTAAGATCACTTACAGCTCAGTTGGTAGATCATTTTCATACACAGATCTAAACTCTGGGAACTCTGAAAATATGTTTTGTCGTTAGTTTAATATGTGTTTGTGTTGATTGTGTTTTATTGAGTGGGCCGTGGGTTTATTGTTCGCTTCTTTTCGTGTGTCTTCCATGGAGATGTTATGGCTGAAGGTGACTTTCTCCGCTGTTCCAGCTGTTTGTCAGTGACCATTTCTTGTTCAATAAAAGAGCAATTCTTTGAACAGAAATAATGATATATTCTGGTTTGTCTTCATTGCTATGCCACAATATATTCAATTTACTGACTTGTGTTTATGTGTTGTGTTGTACAGGTGGAGCTCCTCTTCAAGATATAAAAGTTATGTCTACTTGGAATATCAACATGCAAATCAACATCTTCATGAGTCTGAATCCTGCTGTTGTCATGGTGTGAAACAACAAAATGATGCAGTAGATTTTTGATGTTAGTCAGAATGAAAATAACAAATACTGAAAACTGAAACAAAACTATGTTTGTTTGTTTATTTGTGTGTGTTTCAGAACCTGAGTGTGAGTACAGTGCGTGATCTATTAGGGGTGAATGTTCCTGATCTAAAGCGATATGAGAACTCTTCTATGATTCAGGCTTGGGTGGCTAAACAGAAACAGTCTGACTTAAACACCCTCAACATTGGCCTGCTGGGGGGTATAGCTGACATCACTGATTCTACACTCATTCCTAGCACAACACCTGTCAACATCACTACTCCTGAAAGTTCCAGTGCCACTGCAAGTACCAGCACCTTTACTTCCAACAATAACTCTAATGTAAGTGCCAGTGCCACCACCACTGCAGCAGTTTACACTATGTCTACTACTGTAAACATAACTAGCATTACGACCACTAGCACTACAGTCACCACAAGTGACAACACCACAGTCACCAAGCTTGCCACTGTCACTACCAACAACGGCAGTTTCAACACAACTGCCAGCAGCATTACCACCATGGAAAACAGGACTGTCAATACCATCACAGGTGTTACAACCACTGCCATCATCAACACCACTGGCAGTTCCAGTACCACAATCACCACTGCTAATGTCAACACCACCATTGTCAACATCACAAATGGCAATGTAAACAACCCCAGCAACAATATTACCACTGCAAGCCACAACACCACTGTCATACCCACTGCCAGTATCAGCACCACCACCATCTTTGCTAGTGTCAGCACTGCCACTACCAATACAACACCTGGCCATATCGACAACACCACCATCAGTGCCACCACTGCAAGCCACAACATCACTGTCACTCCTACTACCAGTGTCAACACCACCATTACCTATGCTAGTGTCAGTACTGCCACTGTCAATACCACAACTGGCCATGTTGACAACACCAGTGTCAGTGCCATCACTGCAAGCCACAACACCAGCGTCACTTCCACTGCCAGTTCCAGTACCACCATCACCACTGCTAGTGTCAACACCACCACTATTGGCATCACAAATAGCAATGTAGACAACCCCAGCAACAATGTTACCACTGCAAGCCACAACACCACTGTCATACCCACTGCCAGTATCAGCACCACCACCATCTTTGCTAGTGTCAGCACTGCCACTACCAATACAACACCTGGCCATATCGACAACACCACCATCAGTGCCACCACTGCAAGCCACAACACCACTGTCATACCCACTGCCGGTGTCAACACCACCATCACCTTTGCTATTGTTAGCACTGCCACTGTCAATACCTCAACTGGCAATGCTGACAACACCAGTGTCAGTGCCACCACTGCAAGCCACAACATCACTGTCACTCCTACTACCAGTGTCAACACCACCATTACCTATGCTAGTGTCAGTACTGCCACTGTCAATACCACAACTGGCCATGTTGACAACACCAGTGTCAGTGCCACCACTGCAAGCCACAACACCAGCGTCACTTCCACTGCCAGTTCCAGTACCACCATCGCCACTGCTAGTGTCAACACCACCACTATTGGCATCACAAATAGCAATGTAAACAACCCCAGCAACAATGTTACCACTGCAAGCCACAACACCACTGTCATAACCACTGCCGGTGTCAACACCACCATCACCTTTGCTATTGTTAGCACTGCCACTGTCAATACCTCAACTGGCAATGCTGACAACACCACCATCAGTGCCACCACTGCAAGCCACAACATCACTGTCACTCCTACTACCAGTGTCAACACCACCATCACCTTTGCTAGTGTTAGCACTGCCACTGTCAATACCACAACTGGCAATGCTGACAACACCAGTGTCAGTGCCATTACTGCAAGCCAGAACACCAGCGTCACTTCTACTGCCAGTGTCAACACCAGCACTAGTGACAAGACCAGTCTCAGCACCACAAATGGGGCTCTCAACACTACACTACCAGGCAAAAATATGTCTGCTCCCACTGATGCACCTACCAGGGCCAATATCACAACTGGAATTACCACCATCAGCACTAACGGTGCCACAGCAGCCACCAGTGCCACTTCCAGCCCTAGTTTCAGCACTGGTGCTAGTACTATCATCACCACCACTACTACCACTATCATAGCACCACAGATCATTTGTCAAGGTGTAAATAGGTAAGCTGTGGTTGTTGAAATTAAAAGTAAGACAATATTCCAAAAAAAGATTAATATTATTTATATTTTGCATCATAGTTATACACTTGAGAATCAGCTCTCGTCTGGAAGTGTATCTGCTGTTCTCTGCAACTTCAACATCTCTGAATATGCCTGTTCATCCGTGAGTTTTTCAACAAAGCAAATAAAAAAATTATCAATTCATGGCAATGAACTTCTTAGACAGCCTTCTCTCTCTTTCTGTCTTTGCTTGTATGTTCTAGTCTCCTAAGGTTGCTGCTTTGTCCTCTGATGATCTCGTCACACTACTGACATGCAAACTGCCAAGCAGTGTGGTCTACTCTAAAGAAATTTGGGTGCTTTTCCTCCAGAAGTTTGCAGCACCTCTCCCGGCAGCTCTGGATAAGTACTCCAGCTTGGTATGGGATGTTCACTTGTGTTGCAATAAAACTAAACATTTGGTCTGAATTGTACATTGAAATATCCACTGTCTCTTACAGACCCCCAGCATCTCTCTGCCTGACCCATCTTTCCTTAATGCCATTGGAGATGTGATAGTCAAGAACTTCAGTTCTGCACAGCTTAGGGATGCCGTTTTCATCACCCAGTGGTTCCAGAATAGACTCAGACCATTTTTATCTTCAGTGTCTGCAGACTTTCTCTCCATTCTCAGTTCCAAGGACTTCAGCTGTGAGACCTACCAAGTTGTGTAAGTATGCACAGTGGAAATGTAGAACATTAGAGATGGTATTAATAGCATGAAATTTTTAAAGAAAAAGCAATCTAATCTTTTCTTATCCAACCTAGGGTAAACGCATTTAGTTCACAAGAACCAATCATGAAAGATCAGCAAAAATTGTCCGTCATCAGTAATTTCATCAAACCCTTCCTCAAAGGTAATGAAAAAGAATGGCATGTAAAGAAGGACTTAACGTTTCTTTCATTTTTGTTGTAGTTTGTGAAACAATAGTTACTTGTTCAGTGGAATGAAACAAAAAAGATTCTGTTCTGATTAGGTTCCCTTCTGCACTGTGACCATGGCAGCAGTAACTGACTCAGTGTAATGTTTGTATGTGTAAACTCTGGTGTTTCAGGTCAGTCCTGTGTGCTGCCAGGGAGCAACGATACAGACTGGCTGGTGAAGAATTTTGGCCAATTCAGGAGTTCTGCTTCATTTTCTGATTTCATCAGCCTGAAGAGTGACTTCAATGGAGTGAGTTACACAACATTCTAATGTGTGCATTTACTATACAGTGGTGCATCCATAAGGCCACCTTCTTGGGGCACAGCTGGAACCTCCATAGTAATCTTAACCCTGCTAAAAACCCAGCACAGAACAGCAAGCATTTCATGCTTGTCTAAGATGGTCTGTGCTGGTTTATGCTGGTCTAGTGCTGGTCTGGTTCTGGTTTACCTTTTTACCACGGCATGGTCATGCTGTTTGACCGGCCAACCAGCGTCCGCAGCAAAACACAAGCTGATTTTGCTGGTGACCAGTTGCTCACTCCTTCCCACACTTCCCTTACTTTTGTCTCTTTCTCATAAACTCTATAACTGGTTCTCTCTCCTCTCACACATACTGTCTCTCTCTCTCTCTCTCTCTCTCTTAGGTAAATGCAGCAGAGGTTCTAACTTCACCCCAGTTGGCAGAACTTTGCTCCGACCCCACTCGACTTCATGGTCCTCAGGATGTAAACACTGTGATGGCGGCTGTCAGCCTGAACCAATTCACCTCCTTCTTTGACAACCTCACATCTAGCATTCAGGTACTTACCACTTCTCTGTGTTAAATAGCCCTGCTGAAAAGCACCATTAGAAACCATTAGTTGGGAATTGGCTTCATGGTTTTCTTTTAGAAACCACTTAGTATCCTGTAGAACACCTTTTTATTCCATTAGGAAATCATCAAATGCATTTAGAATCAGCCATTGTGATATCAGTCAATATCACAATGTTAATGGGTCGATATCATTGTGATATTGACCTACTAAAAAGCAAAACACATTACAAAACCATTAGAAACCAACAAAAAACATTTAATAGTTTCTATGAGTTTTTTCAGCAGGAAGCACATTCATAGATCTCTTGATATGCAGACTCTCACTCATTCATAGTTATCATTATTTGGTTGTGCACCTACCCTTGAGCCTCCTCACGTGGCCATCTCCATGGCCACACCTCCTGTTGGCATGATAGTGGGATGCTACAGTATTAAATATGTATACATAATGTTTCATTCACCTTTACAGCTAAAACTGTGTATTATATAATATATCCTTTAAAAAACTGCAGTAGAGTGAACTCTCCACTGCCTCTGCTGTGTGTGATTCAGAGAATAGGTATCCTGGTGGTTAGGAAATTGCCACTATAAAAAACGGATAACCTTGGTTTTTAATATGTGGATGTGGCTTTGGAAACAAAGCAGTCTGAAGTTACTCAAGCAGGGAGTGCTAATAATAATAATAATAATAATAATAATAATAATATAATAATAATATGTTCAACTTACATGGCGCCTTTCTCAAACCCAAGGTTGCTTTACAGGGGAGACTGGTGTTAGACCTTGTAGAGATTTGTAAGTTAGCAAGAGGACTTTAAACTGGATATGAAGTGGGGCAGGAAACCAGTATAACTGATATAGGACTGGGGTGATGTAGAGAATCTGCTGTGTTTGTAAATACTGAAGTGGGCGGATACTTCTGTTGGGAACACCAATGAGAAAGTAGTTGCGGTAGTCTAAGTGGGATGATATAAAAGCATGGACCAGAGAGATTCAGTGTCTTTCATGGAAAGCAAAGGGTGAAGGTGAGCAATAATGCAGAGATGGAAAAACTAGGAAATATCATGGTAATTATTATTAGATATTGCCAGTGCCTACTTAGAATGTAACACTATGTCTAAAATGCGTTCCAGCAGCCTAACTAAGAATATTGTCAGTGAACAATGATAAAATCTGTCTCCAGTGGTCACAGGAGTTTGAAAAATGGACTGCTGAGGAGTGGCCAGAAGGGTCCAGGGTCCTTTTTCATCAAACAAATGGAAGAATCAAGAGCAATAAAAGTCCATGCAGTGATTCTGCTTATTGTGAGGCCAGTGGCAGTGGTATGAAGGGGGAATGTTTTTCTGGTACACATTAAGGGACCTAAAGAAGAATAAAGACCATCCTTGCCTTATCAACTACAGTTTATCCAGTCTAACAACATGCAGCTGGACAATTCCAGTGTGATAATATGCCACGTTACAAGGCCTGTATCCTCATATAATGGTTTCAAGAACTTGGCAGGGAGTTTTCATTGTTTTGTTGGCCTGCACAGTGCCTAGATTTCAACCCTATCAAGCATTTTTGCGAAGAGGTGGAATGGCCATGGCCAAGTAGATTTATGTCATTCTAAAGCACTTGGCCACAACGTCCACTATCAAGTTCAAAACTGCTTCTGGAATCAACTTCAGCACAAGCACTGATTGTTGAGAGCTTCAAAGATTGGCTTGTATAGTGAACAACGGTGGCCAAGCAGCTGCTCTAAGAGCACCAGGTGTGATGCTGAGCTTGGACTGAAGCAGAATGTAAATACCTTTTGTGGCGTGATTAATCACACTCCACCATCTGGCAGTCTGTTTTTTAGCGTCTAGTGAATGAAAATCTGTATGCTACAGCCTACAATCACATTTTAGAGTCTCTAACATTGTGGCAGCAGTTTGGGGAAAGACAGTGGCCCCATGTCACAAAGTGAGCTCCATAAAGACATGGTTTGGTGAGTTTGGTGTGGGATAACTTGACTGGACAGAGTTCTGACCTCAACTTCACCCATTACCTTTGGGAAGAACTGGAATCAGCCCTTATCACCAAAAATCAGTCAGTACCTGACCTCACTGGTGCTCTTGTTGCAGTACCTTATGAATAAAACCTTCCCAGATGAATAGAGGCTGTCACTGCAGCAAAGATGGACGAACTTCATATTAATGCCCATGGTTCTGGAATGAGATGTTCAGCAAGCACATACAGGATGTGAAGAATGGATGTTCACAGACTTTAGTGTAGGTGTACTAAATGAGCTGCCCAGGTGGTGTAGACTCTTCTTTAGTTAATGCTGTCTTGTGTATGTATCTCTAACCTTGTCTCCTTGCATGTTTGGTAAAATCACAGCGGAATGGGTCACTGTACTCCAGTGAGGTGAAGGGAGCTTTCCTTCAGGCCGTTCTGGTGAGAGGTGGACTGTCCTCTGCAGCACTGCCTGATTCAGAAGTGCTGCAGTGGGTGAATGTTCGGCTCAGGCCGCTCCTCTCCAGCCTCTCCTCTGCCGATGTAACACCATACTTCAACATCATCAGAGGCAGAAACTGCAACACCAGACAGACAGCGTAAGAAATTCTTTAAATACCGTATTTGGATTTGGCAGATTTTAATGCAGTGTTTCATTTCTGCTGATTGTTTAGAGCTCAGGTGTTTAGCATTGTGTAGCATGACTGTGATTAATGTTTATCTGTGCTGTAACAGAGTGAGCAGTTTGGACTCTCTGAGATCATCTTTCAACAGCGACACACAGACCCAGATCTTCAGCAACATCCTGCAGCTCCTCACTGGTATAACATGCACACTCTCATGCTCACAGAGTGCAAATTTAAACATTTAAATACACAGTGTTTAGATTGTTTTGTGGCTGTTTTATGTTCCACAGGGCCGAATGGTCTGGGTTGCTACAACGGTGGAAGCTTCTATGTCTTCCTCAAGAACTCCTACCTCAGTTTTGGATTTCCTGACCTGAGTGCCTTTTTGTCCCTCATCCCAGCCAACCGACAGCAAGAGGTACTTACATCTTGGTGTCAGCTGGTAGTACAGCTGATGAGTAGGTGTAATGTACAGGCAACCTGCTAGGCCTTCTCTGGCCACTAGGAGGGACCAGAAAGCTAGGAATGAGTAATTAGTTCTGAGCAGTAGTACCTGTGGGCACCCTACTTAAGGGTTGCTCACACGTTGCTTGACACTTAGTCTTGAGTTGACGCTGCTATGAGCATGTTAGTCTGACTCAGCCGGTAATCTCAGTAGCTGGCTGGAGTTTCAAGTCTTTACTTTTCTCTAGTCATCGTCCAGCATAAATATAAGAAAAGGATCTCATGAGTATTCCTCACTCTCTGTGTTTAGGGAGAGTCAAGACAGATTTTGAGTTCAGTCTTAACGGTTCTCAATTTGGCTCCTCTTTGGAAGCTTTTAATTTTGCACAGCCATTATCCCCTATGGTGGCATGTGCACAGTCTGGCAGTGTGGTGATCGAGGGTTTGATGACCAGTCACTTTCCTTGTTTTCTGCTTTACCTTCTCAAGTCAAGTCAAGAGGCTTTTATTGTCATTCCATCTATGTACAAGTACACAGTGGAGTGAAATTACGTTCCTCTAGGAACAACACGGTGCAACATGGAACAAAATAAGACAGTACAGACCCAGCTGAAACCTTCTGAATTTTGGGAACTATTAAAAAGCCAGCACTTTGTGATCTGAGTAATCGTGGTGGCTCATAATGGGAAATAAGGTCTTGCAGGTACTCAGGAGCCCATGTAGGGCTTTATACGTCAATAAAAGAAGAAGTCATGTTATCAGCAAACTTGATGGTTGATTTGAGCTGTACTTTGCAGTACAGTTATGAGTCAGCAGAGTGAACAGCATTGGACTAAGCACACAGCCGTGTGGGGCACCGGTGCACAGTATGGTGGTGCTGTTTAATGTTGGTAATGATCCTGACAAATTGAGGTCTCTCAGTCTGGAAATTCTGAACCTAGTTACAGAGGGAGGCGTTCAGTCCCAGCAGGCTCAGTTTTACAATCAGCTGCTGAGGAATGATGGTGTGAATGCTGAATTGAAGTCTATGAACAGCATTCTGACGTAGGTGTCTTTATTGTCCAAGTGGGTGAGAGCCAGGTGGACTGAGGTGGAGATGGCATTGTCTGTTGACAGTTGGGGCGATATGCAAATTGTAGTGGATCCAGTGACAGAGGACGTTGGTCTTTAATGTGCCTCATGACAAGCCTCTCAAAGCACTTCATGATGATGGGAGTGAGTGAAACATGACGGTAGTCATTGAGGCAGAACACTTGAGACTTCTTTGACACAGGGATGATGGTGGTGGACTTGAAGCATGTTGGAACGACTGCAGTGCTCAGAGAGATGTTGAATATGTCCATGAGAACACCAGCTGTTCAGCGCACTCTCTGAGCACTATGCCAGGTATGTTGTCAGATCCTTACTTCATTCCTTGTCTAATTTGTTGTTCCCAGTTCTTAGTCTCTTTTGTTTTATTTTCTGAGTTGCGTATTTCTTCCACTCCTCAGTTGCTCTGCACTTGAGCCTGTTTACTATTGTTTGCCAGGCGGTTCGTCTAATGGCACTCCTGACTACTAACACAAAGGTCGTGGGGTCAAGTCTCACTCAGGGCAAACCCCCTGGTGCTTAACAGCAAGACTGAGGTAGCGAAATGGACATGCATATTTCCCCCGCTCCTCAGTTGCTCTGCATTTGAGGCCAATTATTGCTTTTGAGTGTGGGATGTAATAGCCCTTATGGCTGTATACCAGCAGGGTCTCAATGATGAGCTGAAAGATGAGTTAGTCACCCGGGACGTAGCTGAGACTCTAGAGAAACTCACGGAACAGGCTCTAAGACTAGACAATCTGTTGCAAGAAAGTGGTCGGATATGGCACTTTGGGCATCCCCACAATAAGAACCAATTGTCCCCTCCTCTGGCAACTCCTGAGTCTCCTGAACAGCCTATGCAGTTAGGAGGCACCTGCCTTTCTCGCCAAGAGCAATAATTGATCTCCTCCCTGGCATGACCCCTTCTCTGGGAAGTCTGTTTTCCCTTTTGGGGCCTGAGAAAGTGGCCATAGAAGCGTATACCAAGGAGACACCAGCTCTAGGCTTAATTCGCCCCTCGTCCTCCCCCACATCTTAGACCCTGAGCTCATCAGGGCCTTTAAGGGGGACCAAGAGGCTGGTTTGCTAACGTCGGAAGCCATTACTAGGAGGGGGTGCTGTAACACCTGGGCAACTTGCTAGGCCTCCTCTGGCTGCTAGGATTGGCTGGAGAGCCAGGAATGAGTAATTAGGGCTGAGCGGTAGCAGCTGTGGGCACCCTATTTAAGGAGTGTTCACATACCACTCGGCGCTTAGTCTGACTCTGCCAGTAGCTTGGTACTTTTCTCTAGTCAATCTTCAGTGTATTAGTATAAAAAGTTTTAAAAAGGACAAAAAGGGTCTTGAGTATTCCTCTCTTCATGTTTAGGTGAAGTTGAGACAGATTAAAGAAGAGATCTCACCATCCCTCTTTCCATCATTGAGGAACAAGACCCTGAGATACTGAAACTCTTCCACCTGTGGCAGGTCCTTTCTCTTTACCTGGAGTGGGCATGCCATCTTTTTCTGTATGGGCAGTGAGAGGGACAGGGAGACCCTTGCTGGCATGGACCTCTGTGGCGGAAACTGACGTTTTGAATATAAATTTTACAAATACGTTGTGGCCATTGTCATACATTGCCAAAATATATTCAATGAAAACATTTAGAATTTTTTTTTTCCTTATGGAGAGTGGGTTTTCATCAGTAACTATGTGACTATGACAAGCCATCAATATTATACTGAATAAATCACCTACAAATACTGCTAGTGCCTAAGTAAATCAATGGATCCCTCAGTAGTACTAATAATCAGCAGTTCAGACTGTATGTCGTTAATATAGTCAACAAATCAGTAAAAATGATAATTACTAATAAAATCATCCTCTAATACAATCTACCAGTAGTACATTGTACAAATTATTCAGCGATACTGCTAGTGGGTAACGCAACCTGTAAGTCATTCTGTAATGTTAATAATCAATAAAACAATAAATAATGGGCCATTCAGTGATACCTCTAGTCAGTTAATACAGCAAATGAGTCATTCATAATACTGTTACTAATGTGCCCATGAGAACTCTCAGCAATGGTGAGACTGAGTTGCTCTCCTCTCTTGTCTGTAGCTGTTGGGCTCCATCTCTCCAGGAGAACTGTATGAGTTTCTGAATGGGCCGAACACAGTCAGGAACGGGTCAGATCTCTGCACACTCCTCAACAACTACAACAGCACCAACCAGTACCTGGAGACGGTACAGCTGTGTCCTTTTTCATTCACTCATTTCTGCTGTTTCTCACTCAGTTTCTCTCTCTGGTAGTCGTTTAATGCAGTGATCCATATGTAAATCTCTCTTTTCTGTCTCTTTCTCTCTTTTTCTTTCCATGTATTTCTCTGTGCAGCAGCCAGCTGGATCTGCAGCTGTGGGCAGACAGACGTTGGGGTGCGTTTGGTCTCGTGCTCTCAGCGCCTCGTCTCAGGATGAGGTGGATCAGTGGTTTAATGTAAGACTGGCTCAGTACCTGCCCTTCCTCAGCTCTCAGCTCATCAGCCCCACCCAGCTCAGCAGCGCCTCCTGCCTGTCATACAGGAAACTGTGAGTCTTTGGTGTAGCATTGAACTGTTCTCTGAGCACAAATTTAAAAAAAAACAAAAAAAAAAACATTTTTGTTCAGTGAAATTACTGATGATTGTAATTTTGTGAGCAGGGTTTCAATCCTGGGGAACAACTATAATTACTCAGCCACGGATTTCACCAAAGCTGTTGTGTACAGCGCTATAAAGGCTTATCTGACCAGCAGAAGTAAGCAATACTACATTGCTCTACATTTTCTTTGTGCATATTTATGTTAGTGCATGTGTATATATGTGTATTTCTGTGGTATCGTGCAGGTGGGACTCCCCGCTGCTATAACTCCTCTGATCCCCTTCTGAACTCCACTGCCTGGTTTGCCAACAACATTGGATTCTTTATCACTTTCATCTCCCTCACTGACCTCCAGTCCTTCGTATCAGACAGCCAGGTAACACACAGACATAATTGCACACATATGCTGATACCTGATCTTCAAGTATTCACCAATACTGATACTAACTCTATCCAACCTAATTAGCCTACACATCCTATATTTACACAGTTCCACCTTTTAAATATTTTATTTTTTTTGCCAAAACTGTGTTCTGTGTCTCAAATAAAACAATCCAAGGCTGAATGGATGGCATTTAAAATTCTGCACAAAACACTGAACAGAATAGGCCATTCGAATAGTACTCAAATGCATGACTGTGGCTCAAGGCCTGAAGCAAGAGTTGTGTTGAATGAAATGACGATAGGGTCAGAGGTAACCTGTTAAGCCAAACACCAACCAGCCAAAGAACGGCAAGAACATGTAAAGCACCTATACAGATCAAAAACTGGCCACCAGCATACTGAGGAATGAGTAAAGACTCACCTGACAAAGAAGCAGCCAGGGGTGCAGGACCAGGGGAACAGAGCTCACAGCAGAGAGAGAGGTAAAGTTGGAAGCACAAACACAGAGCAACCGACACAGAGGCAAGGAAAACAAGGATCACAAAGCAAAAAGAAATGTCAGTCAAGAAAACCAAAGACAGGGGGAGGGTGCAAAGCAAAAGGTAGACGAGTAAATAATCCAGCAAGAAGTGACAGCAACAAACATGCACAACATACCGGAACCAGAAAATGTTCAGAGGGCATTCAGAGATTTTGCCTCATCACACTACTGTTACTCCAAGAGACTGATGGTTCCTTCAAAACATCTCTCGTATGTTCACTCCCTCAATAACGACCTGGACTAACTTTAACTCAGAGTGTAAGTGATTACACAACGGCAGATGAAGGATTACTGAAAGATCCCTGAATGACATTCTGATATTCAGCTACAGGGAATAACGTTAGAGTGACTTGTACTGTATGTGCGCTGTGGTTTCTCTCTTGTTTGCGACAAACTGGTAAAACGTACACCGTAAGAAAAATGCTAAGCAATATATCTCCCACTACTATTGCTTCCTTTAAAGTACTGGCAATATTTTGTAATTAACCTTTTTGACTACTGCTTACAATCCACACCACCGGCGTGCCACTACATGCACCCAGTTGCATGCATGTGTGTCAGAAAGTGGCTCATGATATCAGTATTCTCTGTTGCTGATAATGATACCATGTTTAAGTGCCAGTATCAGAACTGAAGCCAATATACTACATATACCTTGCTGTGTCTGATTGTCTTCTGTAGATCGGTGTGTTCCTGGAAAACTCAGAGAATATTTGGCTGTTTAACAACTCAGGAATTTCATCCAATGTCACCACATACTACAGCACACAACTATACATCCAGAATTCAAACTTCAATCCCTTCAGGTACCACACTACACACTAAATACTACAACACACAGCTATACATCCAGAATCCTAACCTCAGTCCCCTCAGGTACCACACTACACACTAAATACTACAGCTATACATCCAGAATCCTAACCTCAGTCCCCTCAGGTACCACACTACACACTAAATACTACAGTTATACATCCAGAATTCAAACCTCAGTCCCCTCAGGTACCACACTACACACTAAATACTACAGTCATACATCCAGAATTCAAACCTCAGTCCCCTCAGGTACCACACTACACACTAAATACTACAGTCATACATCCAGAATTCAAACCTCAGTCCCCTCAGGTACCACACTACACACTAAATACTACAGTCATACATCCAGAATCCTAACCTCAGTCCCCTCAGGTACCACACTACACACTAAATACTACAGTTATACATCCAGAATTCAAACCTCAGTCCCCTCAGGTACCACACTACACACTAAATACTACAGTCATACATCCAGAATTCAAACCTTAATCATCTCAGTACCCACAATGTACAACAAAAACTATATAAACCACTTGAAAACACAGAACCTGCCCTTCAACTCTCTCATATTTTATCTGTTTATCTACTTGTTTAAGTGTTTACCTGTTTGTCTCTGTGTTTAGATTGCCAGATGTCCTCCTGTGTGGAGCTCCTGGCTCTGTGTTTGTGTCTCTTGGAGCTACAGACAGTCAGAAAATCCTGGACAGCATCAAGAAATCCTGCCAGCAAATTAGTCCAGAGGTAAATCGACCAGTTAGGCCAAATTTCTCACCATTTGTGTTCTATAATCAGTCATTCTGTAATAGTGTGAGTTACCCATAATCCTCCTCTTCACTCAGGTTACTGCGGCTCTCGTGGCAAATTTCCCCCCTTTGTCCACAAATATCGTCCAGTCGCTCAGCAACCAGAGCGTCAGTCTGACTGAGGGCCAGATAAGAGACGCTACCCCCAGTGTCATTAACAGTACCCTGCCTGTACTCAGCGTCATCACAGGCTGGAACCAGGGTCAGGTCAACAACATCATCCAGAGCATCACTAACGCTGGCTTCACTGTGAGTGTACATTACACACTAGACACTACACACTGCCGTAATGCTTCATTATAATCCTGGAACCAGGGCCAGTGCAGTGCTCTCATTTAGAGCACTCAATAATAAAGACTTTACATTATTTGTGTACCGCACAATACACTCAATTAGCAAGGCCAGGTCAAACCGTATATAAACAGCATCCTGAAATGCCATCGCCTTCACTGGGCCTGAGCTCACGGTGATATATAAAAGTGCCCTGTGGTCCGACAAGTCAAAATTTTAAATTCTTTTTTGGAAAACATGAACTCTGCATCCTCCAGGCTAAAGAGGAGAGGGACCATCCAGCTTGCTATCAGCACACAGTTCAAAAGCCAGCATCTGTGATGGTCTGGGGTTGCATTAGTGTACATGGCTAGGGTGACTTGCACATCTGTGAAGGCACCATTAATGCTGAACGATATATACAGGTTTTTCTTTCATGCACTTGGATGACAGTCATGCAACAAATCTGGTTTCTCATAAATCTGTTGAACTTCAGACTACCAAAGGCACACCACAATTATAGAACCAAATTACCAAAGAGGGCAGGGTACACAGAGAGAAACTTGTGACTCAGCACACTCGTCAGAAGCATTCCCTCATGCAAAAGATAATGATTTCTTAAGGTGGACAGTGAGCAGATAGAAGAGGGGCTGTGTAGAGTAGAGCTGAAATAGCCAATATAGTGTCAGGAAAAAGTTGGCAAACCCCTATTATTTGCCTCTGGCCAGCCAAGAAGCACATGGACATTCTACTCCTCCACACAAGCCCCTTCTTGGTCAGAGACATACTCGAGAAAAGAAACTGTTTTTTGGTCAAAAAAGCACTTCTCTGCATTACATAACAGGTGGTTCTCCAGGAGAAGCTGTAGCACTGACATAAAACATTTATGACAATGGGGAAATATTATGAACTAATGATTGGAATGCAAAAGAAAAACCAGACAACAGACTTTGCATGACAGTCTAGTTAAGTCAAAGTTTATTTATGTAGCACTTTTTACAACAGGCATCACGAAGCACACAAACACACATTTTCTAAGCCGCTTATCCTTCTGGGGTCACAAAGCAGCTTTACAGAAAAGACCAGGTCCAAGCCCCCCATAAGCAAGCCATTGGAAAGGAAATCTCCCTAAGAGCAAGAAGAAGAAACCTTGAGAGGAGCCAAGACTCAACAGCAGAACCCACCCTCCTCTTGTCTAGCAATTAAACTTATTATTGCAGTTCAATTTCAAGTACAATGTGCAAATCCAAAGCAACTATGCCTTGCATATACTGCTCAAACGTATAAATATATACGTAATTCATCGTGACTTTGGTTTTGATTTGACGATTTCTTTAACATTTTGTTTTAACTGGATGGTTGACAGATCAACACTGGCACCTCCCTGGTGACTCTGGGCACGCTCGTCGGAGGTGTCCCCTCAGCAACCATCTCTAAAATCTCATCCCCTGAACTTCTGACCGTGTCCCAGAATCCAACGTTCGTCACCAACATTCTGACAGCCCCAGTGATCCTTCAAGAAACATACGTAAAGAAGGTATGTATATACGTACACTGCATATTACACTTTAAGCCCCAGGAATTGAGAAACGTGGTGGGAGGGAAAATGCAAAAATGCACCGTCTGCTGGTTCTTTTCAAAACATTTTGAATTGCCATTCATTTCTTATTCATGTCATGGAGAAAGTTTTTGAAAATGGGTTAAGTATGACTTAAAGCTAAGACTTTTCTGTAAAATAGTAATTGTGCAGTCAAACAAGCACAGTAGTTGCAAATCTAATGTGATAGCAGAATATGTTAATGAGAAATGTAACATCGAATACTTGAATATACTGTAATTAAACTATAAAGCCCATGGCTCTGTGTCTGTGGCATGGGTGACAGTGGAATGAGTGACAGTGATGTCATCAGTGTGAAAGACTTTGTAGTTCATTTTGTTGTTTGTTTGTGGGAAATGCTCATAATAACTATATTCCAATCTTTTACTGACATTTAATCATTTAAACCATTGGTATAATGTCATATATAATTGAAAATGGGGTGACAGAGCATGTTGTGTTGTACAGCCTCTAATTTGCATCTTCTCCAGTTAATTGTGAGCCAATGCTTCGAACACAAACAGTAAAGGGTTATTCGGCTTCTGATATTGTGTGCAATATGACCCCTAGTCATCCCGACTTACAATTCACTTGTAGTGCGGTGAGGGAAGGGAATGAGCAGGGATGTTTCCAGAATAAAGAAAAGGAAAAGCTGCTTTATAGTGTCACCCTTTGAGTGTCTTTTAAGAAAATGAAGCCATAAACACAGACTTCAGGATAATGGTCATCTGCGCACCTTACTCCAGTAACTCTTTTCAGCACAGCAGGTGATGCTGTGCCACCATAGTTCCTGCAATGCCTCCTTAAACTGAAGAAAATAAGCAGCCTTTCTGGTAAAAAACATGTGAACTAACTTTGTTCTTGGTATAATTCGGTAGTTCTTGAAGTGAGTTGGTTGTTTTTGGTATGTTTTGGTAGTTTGTGATTTGATTAGTCCTTGGTTTGCTTTGTTAAGTTCAGTGGTTTAGTAGTTCGTGGTTTGGTAGCTCTTATTTTGGTTTGGTAGTTTGTGTTTTTTTAGTTTTTAGTTTGGTATGGTTTAATACTTCAAGAGGGAAGCCATTCCTTTTGTGGAGACCTGCAACTCTCATGCTTCCCAGCTTCCAAAAGGACTCTCACCATCTTACAGACCTCAATTTCCAAGATGCATGAGCCAGTCACATGACCCAGCCAACCCATGCTGGTCACGTTGTACATGACTGTCAGGCATAGACCTCACACGCCGACCCCGGGAAAGTGTGGAAAGTTAACTATATGCACCATTGTGCTGAGTGTTCCCACAAAGGGGTTGATTACAAAGTCGTATCAGTTGCCTGTGACCCTGTGCTGCCGCATTTTTGTTTGTCATTGCAGCTTTAATTCACTTTTGAGTTGAGAAAAATTTTATTTACAAATGGAACAACTACGGATTCCAGGGCATCCTCTTAATTCTAATTTTTTAAATTCAGAACCATTAGTCAGCTGTGTTTTGCACACAGAGGAATCAGACCTCCGCATTTAACCCATCCGTGCAGTAAAACACCCACATACATGCACACTAGTGAATGCACACTAGTGAACACACACACACTAGGGGGCAGTGAGAACACTTGCCCGGAGCGGTGGGCAGCCCTATCCACGGCGCCTGGGGTTGGGGGTTAGGTGCCTTGCTCAAGGGCACTTCAGTCACATACTGTCGGCCGTTCCCTAACCTCCAGCCCAATTGGCAAGGGAATTATTGACCCTCTCACTAGACCTGTTGCTCTGTGTACCAGTGCTCTACATTAGGAAGGGATTAGCTATTTTCTGATGAATTCTTAGTTCTGGTCAGTACTTCAAGAACACTGACTAACTGCCTTTTAAGAGCTTTCAAACTTTAGAAAAACAAAACATTGTGACGGTTTTACCCTGGCTACACAAACATAACACCATATCTCCTGGTCAGATTGTGAAATTCTCAGTCTGTCCCCTTTTGTCAGACTCAGGGGTCTAGTTCCCCAGTCTAGCTTTAATCTCCTCATCCATATGAATACCTTACAGACCTTTACTTAGAGTCAGGCCATGGAACTTCCTCCTCATTGATAGTATGATTGCTCTATTGAGCTTAATGAGGGTGGTATTCCATCTAAATTTAGAGTATACCTTCTCTACCTCACCTACAGCTGCTGGTTTCCTTTCTTGTGACAAAGAAGTATGTGGACTTAGACCCTGTATTGATTATTGAGGGCTTCATCAGTTACGAAAAGTTACCCCCAATCTTAACCTTTAGTTCCAGTAGCTTTGGAACAATTTAGAGAAGCTACTGTCTTCACTAAATTTGACTTTAATAGTGCTTACAACCTTGTACGCATTAGGAAAGGTAATGAGTGGAAGACTGCCTTCATCACCAGTAGTGGGCAACACAAATATTCAGTAATGCCGTTCGGCCTCTCTAATGCTCCTTCTGTCTTACAAGTCTTCATCAATGATGTCCTAAGAGACATGTTTGGTAAATTTGTTATAGTGTACATCGATGACATTTTGATTTACTCCCCAGATCTCCCTACCCACATTCTCCATATCCATCAGGTCCTCTCCAAATTCTTACAGAATCATTTGTAGGTTAATGGTGAGAAATGCAAATGTCATTTTTCTTCTACATCCTTTTTAGGTTATGTTATAAGCTCTAAAGGAGTAACTGTTGATGATTCTAAGGTCGAGGCAGTTCTGAATTGGCCTATACCTACCTCAGTCAGAGGTTTGCAGTGCTTTTTTGGCTTCACAAATGTTTACCATAGGTTCATCAGAGGTTATAGTAGTATCGCTGCCCCATTAACTGCCCTTCTTTAGTATACAAGGCTGATAAATTGAGGAGGTATTCCCTGGTAGAATCAGTGTGCTTGTATCTTCTAAATGAGATTTTTCTTTCTGCTGGTAAAGGTAGGCTCTGAGTTGAGACTTTCTTTAGCTTACACTCTGTTAGTCATAAGAAGTCTTAATGTGATTCTGGATGGCCAGTTATTGTTCTCAGCCATGCATGTTTCTCCTGTACAACATCTGGAAGAATCAACCCTTTCTCACTTGAGAGGCCACCCAGGTGCTTGTTCAGTCTCTTGTCAACTCAAGGCTTGACTACTGCAACTCGCTCTTGGCTGGTCTTCCACTGATGGTTTATGCAGGCCATCAAGCCTCTGCAACTCATCCAGAATGCAGCAGCACGGCTTGTCTTCAATCTTCCTATGTTCAGTCACGTCACTGATCTGACGTCAGACCGCCCCCTTTGGTTGAGGTTGAGGTTGAGGTTGAGGGGCTCCCTGGTCTATGCTGTAGGTTCTTTAGTACCTGGTCAACTGGGAGGACCGTGGACCCAAGGACAGGAGTTGGGTAGCTGCTAAGGATGTCCTGGATCCGGGGTTGGTGGAGGAGTTTAACCACCACCATCCAGACCATCTGGCTCTGTGTCCCAGAGGTCATCCCAGAAGCCATCTGGTCTGCACCTCTGCTGGTCGATACAGGGTTTGTCCTGCGAATGGATCTCCTGTCCAGCACTGTGGCAGCTCCAGTAGTGAGGTCATCCTCATTCTTTGTCCATCCTAGAATCATCCAGGATACAGTCATGCTTCCCAGCTCTCAAATGGACTTTAACTTTCTTACAGACTTCAATTCCCAAGATATTTACTAGTGTGTACCTCTTATGGCCCTGTTTTGTCTACTGTTGTTGATTCTTGGTTTGCTTTTTGGTTTAGACCCTTGCCTGTCTTTGTCCGTTCCTATGTACCATGTTTGGCTTTTCTTGCTTTTGACCTAGTCTGTTGTTAACTCTACTGTTTCATATAATTCTCCTTTTTAATAAACCTTTTTAATAAATCTTGTTTAACAAGCACAAAAATGTGTGGGCAAAAAAGATTTGTCATGGGATTGATAAAGGTCTCACACTGTTCATTTAAACAAAACTTGTGTGCATCTTAAATCCACAGATTGCATGTTTTCAGACATATCATCCAACTTGATTGGCATTTGTGATAGATGAGAACTGGTGATACTATCATCAAGGCTGAAGCCTAGGGGGCGCTCCAACCACTTTCCTTCTGGATTAAAAATGTTATAATAGAAGTTAAAAACAAATTTCAACCTTAAGCAAAACTTAGTTAGTTCTTTTCCCGCCTTGTCTTTTCCCACAGATTGTCTCTGTAGACCAGACTAAAGTGGTGGAGAATGTCCCAGATGCGTTGGCAGGGTACATCCCACCTGTGCTACTGTCGTCTCCCACCTCTGTTAATGTCACACTCATAAACAAGAAGAGCTGGAGACAAGAACAGGTAACAGAACACACTCATGATGCATCTTTTTTGTAGCGATGATGTAAGCAGGTTTACATGCAAGTGAAAGAGATCTTTTAAATATTTAAATGTTTTCTTTTTACTAGGCTGTGGTGTTGTTCAGCTCAGTGGCCAGCGCCAGTGACAATACAGAAGAGTGAGTTAACGCAAGCAAAGCAGAAAATGCACAATACTTCCATTGTCCAATCACACTGGACATTTACATAATATTTTCAGTGCTATAAAATACAAGTTTGTAGGTGTTAAATGTGTGTGTCTCCCCCTGCAGGCTGTCAGAGTCGATATTACAGGGATTCACCTGCAGTTCAGTTCAGAATCTACCACGGTCAAAAGTCACACAGCTGATAAAAGCCTGCAGACCACGTGTCGGCAGGAACAAGGTCGTCCTGAAAGAGTCCCAGGTACGCACAGTCTGACTCACTTAGTGGAATATTCAGGAATTACCACAGAAAGAAAAACACAGTGCTAATCTTTAAGATGTAATTCTATATAATCAAGGTTTTAGGCCACTTACATACTTAAGCGTGTGCCATACTGGGCTGTAAGAAGGCAGTATGACAGTGTTTATTGTTATTGTGATAAATGACATCCCAATATGATTTTCTGAGAATATGTTGTGTATATGACCAATGCTTAAACCCTTAAAATCTCAGGTTTATTAGATACTAAAGCTTATTATTCAGTAACTACAGGGACTTCTATGCAAGCTGGCTGAGCTATTTTTAGGTTATAGAAGTGTGTAATAAAACTTTGGGCCCACTGGTGGGCCCTGGCCATTTAAGGACTGACTACATGTTTCATTATAAAGAAATCACAATAAGTTCTGTTTGTTTGCATTTAGTGCAGTGTGGAGGTGGGCAATATGGTGATATGTTATCATTATCATGATAAATATTATTATAGTGGTAGACAATGATGAATGTGGTCAGTACTTCAAGAACACTGACTAACCGCCTTTTAAGAGCTTTCAAAATTCAGAAAAACAAAACATGGTGACACGTATTGTGTATTGTGGAAATATAGTGCAATGTTATATTTTTGCCATATTGCCCTTCTCTAGTCAGCCATGCCAGCCACACAGTGCAGTCTAAATAGTTTGTCATTGCCCCGGCCAGCAAGCCATCACACTCAGGGGTATATTCTCAGAGATGGAAGCAGCTGAGAGCGCGCTACCTGGCTAGCAATTTACTGGAGAACTTATTTAGGCTGCACAATGAAGACCAATATTACTGCTTCAGATTAGAGCTCTGAAATAGACACAAAGTAAGCCTGAACAGTGGTGATGTCATCTAACGCAGAGCGTTCTGTGTTGCAGCTGACCTGCATGTACAACTACGTGAAAGATGATTCAACTCTGACCTTCACTGACTTTCCTGCTGACATGCTTCTCTACTACAGGTGAGTAGCACAAACTCACAATTATTTTGCCTCAGGAAAAAAACAACTGTAATTGAAAAATCTAAATAAAATTGAACTAATAAATTGTGGATGAATGACATCTTCCTAAATAGCAGTTGTGGAAAACATTTTGAACCTATTTTTGTAAATCTGTTTTCTCTATAAAGTAATTTACTTTTAGACAAAAATCTAAGAAATAGTGAAATGTTGTCTAGCAAAGTCTAGCATAAACTGGCTGTTAACGTGTTTAATCAGCTAACTAATGTGTTTGTGTGCATTGTAGCCTTGGCAAGCTGACAAAGGTGAACTGCGGGTCGTATTTCAGAGCTCTGGGTGGAGCAGATTTCTCGGTTCTCTCCAGCGTCCTCAACAGACAGTCTGCCTTGTTCACGAATGCAAAGGACTGCCTGGTAAAACACACAACTTATGTACACATAGTATCTACACAAAAATGGAAAAACATCATTATGACACAAAAACAAGAAAGTGTGAATTTATGTACACTGAAAATGAGCATAGCAGGTCCTCTTTTAACCCCTTGAAATCCCAGGATTATTACATGCTAAGGCTTATCATCCATTAGCTACAGGGACCTCAATGCAAACTGGCTAAGCTATTTTTAGTTACAGAAGTGTAGGCCCGCCAGTGGGCCCTGGCTATTTAAGGGGCTAAGGCACACTAAGTCAAACTGTGGACCAGTTCAGGCAGCAACAAAGAAGGTAACATGGCAGTTACACAGTCATAGAGAAAAGTTTAAACATCCTTGGTCATTTGGTGATTTAAATACGGCATTTCTCATCAAGATTTAGTGCACAAGTTCAATTTATTTACATGTTGGAAAAGGATGAAGTGTGCCAGAAGTTTTGCACAAGGCACACTGTGTTTTATTTCATTTTCCAATATGGTAAATTTAGCAAATAAACATTGGCATACAACTGTATAACTCAGAGCTTTGTGCAAAGTGCATAATGTTATATATTTACATGTTCAGTTCATTTACTTCTTGTTTGAAGTCCAGATGGACAGAAATAAGAGTACAGAACATTCTCCTGACTTTCTCCAGCATAAATAAATAATAAGTAAAGCTCTGCTCTGATAATAATAAATTTTTGCTGGCACCAAGGTCACCATGCCCACGTTTTCGTGACTTCATGCTGCCAGATGAATGCAGGTGATCTTAGATTAGATGTAAAATGGGGCGACAGTTAAAAGGTTAACAACTCATTAGTGTACTTTGTCCATTTCTGTACTACACACAGGACTGCTGAGCTTTGTGGTTTATGACATCACAGCTGCACCAGCACAACCATATACAACCTGATAGCAATAAGTGTTCTCCGACATACAAGACATAAATGAGTCCGCTTTCCAAAAAATCTTTTTTGCTTTAATCCTAAATCAGCTTTAATTAGATCACAGGCATCTTAACTATTAGAAGCATCCCAGTTGTGTTATTGTACCAGAATGCTTGCTTATACCCAGGAGAAATTAGTCTGTCTGACTTGGTCTTGGACATGAAACTGCTAGAATGGTGTCCTACCAAAAATGAGCAGAATATCCATAAAAGTCTCATTCTTAGGCTTTGCTATCCATTAAATACCAGAAGGGTCCCTACAGGGTCTTGAAGCAAAAATAGGACATCCATGTGTTTGATATTTTGGGGGTGTTAGTGCAGTGGTCCCATGTTCTGCCCACAGGTCCATGGGGGCAGTCGTGGGCTAGACGTTAGGGAACTAGCCTTGCAACTGGAAGGTCGCCAGTTCGATCCCCTGAGCCGACAACACATGACTGAGGTGCCCTTGAACAAGGCACCTAACCCCCAACTGCTCCCCAGGTGCTGCGGATAGGGCAAGTGTGCTTAATGCTTAATTAACTGAGATCTTCCTCGTCTCCTCTTCTGTAGAGTCTCTGTTCTAGTGCGGTTCTGCGCTCTTCCTCACAGTAACTGAGATCTTCCTCGTCTCCTCTTCTGTAGAGTCTCTGTTCTAGTGCGGTTCTGCGCTCTTCCTCACAGTAACTGAGATCTTCCTCGTCTCCTCTTCTGTAGAGTCTCTGTTCTAGTGCGGTTCTGCGCTCTTCCTCACAGTAACTGAGATCTTCCTCGTCTCCTCTTCTGTCCTCAGTGTGAGAAATGAGGAACAGTCACTCTTCACTCCAAACTCTTGGGAAACTGGGCGAGTTTTCAGATTTACAGATCTGCTGCAGCTCATTGTAAAGTTTTTCAGAGGAATCCGGGCAGAGTTACAGTTTCTAGGCTATGAAGGACCAACTGGGTGAACCAGCCTGCTACAGCGCCACCCTGAGGCAGAGTATTTTAATTTTGAGACATTCCAAGGGTCCAAGAGGTTAGTTAGAAGTCCCAGTTCCCCCAGGACCCCATATATTTTGCAAATTGCTCTCTTACACACCCAAAATACATCCATCCTTTTTAAGAACATACGTGGCTATCAGGTGATACCCTTTTATACAGATGAGAAGCTCATTCTCACACGCTTGTGTCATTTGTGCTCTTGCAGGGTATATCTGGTGTGAGTCTGAACAGGACTCAGGTGGAGGTTCTGGGTAATATGGTCTGCACACTGGACTCCACCTACATTCAGACCTCTGATCCACTCATCCTGGAGAAACTGAAGGACTGTGGAGAGCTTTCTGACTCTCAGGTCACCGCCACACAGACGCTGCTGTTCTCTGGCAACACAGCTTATGGGTGAGAAAGAAAATACATTGTGTGCTTATGGTGTAGGGCTATAGAAAAAAAAGTTTCAAAATGTTTTGCATCCAATTTTATGAAGGTTTGAAACTTTAACTGTGACAGAAATATCGTGTTTAGTTTTAACGATTATCAGAAAGCATATTAGATTAAACTTTGTCATCGTGCAGAGTTTAGGGACAGAGCCAATGACATGCAGTGTCAGAAGGATGATATAGTGGTTAAAAAAAAAAAAAGCTTATGTATAAATAAATTATTTCAAGCAAAGATGTCATAGGCCTGCTGGTAGTGTTATCGGTTTCTTTGGCCAGCGTGGCCAAGTAGCACTTGCTTTAATAGGATGAAACCATGTGATAGATATGCAGAATAGCTGACCATTTTTTTGCATAATATGTAGGGGTAGGTGACCTCTGCAACACACACACACACACACACACACACACACACCCACACACACACCACCTAAACCGCTTATCCTTAATTGCCGTGGTGGGGTGCTGGAGCCTATCCCAGCTGTCATTGGGCGGAAGGCCGGATACACCCTGGACAGGTCACCAGTCCATCGCAGGTGCAACAAAAACAGATCCATGTAAAACAAAGTGGTAGACAATGGCTCACCAAACTGTTAACATTAGTCCATCATTAGGAACAAAGGTTCACAGTGAATTTATGGAACCTATGATAGCTACTCATCACTTTAGCATTCCATTTTATAATTTAGAAATATAGATAGAATTCCATTTTATTTTTTATAATATGTAATAGCACCCTAAAAGCAAAAGGGGGTGCATGCATGCATTTTTCAATGCTGATAATATTAACATCATTGTATCATCAAGGCAACCTGCTAGGCCACCTTCCAGTCAGTCTTCAGGTAGGACAGGTACCGTGAATTAATTTTCTTTCTGCTTATCCAGGTGCCAGAGTTGCAGCTAGTCTTCCCCCTGGCTGCAATGACATAATCCGCACCTAGATTGGCTGACTCAATCTGTGGCAGGCTGGGGCCATCAATGTAAGGGCTCTTGCATCGAGATTCCTGCACAGGCCCCAACCCGCTAAGGGTTTCTCTACTTGTCCTGACATAAACAAAGTCTCCGCTGAGTACCACGACTTGTCAAAGGTATTTAGTAAAGGCAAGGCCTAGATATTGCCTCTGGCACATTGTTGTTACAATGAGTGGTGAGGATTGATGGATTCCCTTCAGATGTCGTTTCTGACCATGTACCCCAGTTCTCTAGTTGCTTCTAGAGAGCATTTTGTCAGTTTATCAGGGCCTCTGTTAGTCTGTCATGGGGCTTCCATCCTCAGTCCAATTTACTGAGAGAGTAAATCAGGACCTCAAAATGGACTCTCAGGTGCTTGGCCTCTTCATGACCCATCTTGTGGTCTGAGCACCTGTTCTGGGTGGAGTATGCCCATAACTCCCTTTGGCACTCCACTTTGGGCATGTCTCCAACAGAGTGCCAATTCTCGTACCCTCCTCCCATGTTCCCAGAACAGGAGTCAGATATCGAGGTCCCAAGGGCCGTGACTATGTTAGGTAGTGTCAGAGCTCTTGAAAGAGAGAGCCCATGTTGAAGGCCATAGTAGTGCAACAGAGGACTGCCAAACAGAAATAGCACTTATGTCCCTCATACCATCTAGGGCAGTGAGTTTAGAAACCTACCATTGAGAGTGGAGTCCCAGAAACTTGCCCTATGATATGTGGGACCTTTCAAAGTGGTAAAACAGGTGAATCTGGTGACTTATTGGCTCCTCCCTGGAACCATGTGGATAAACCTGACATTTAATGTCTTCAGGCTGAATCTAGTCCTCTGTAGCCCCCGAACTCTGCCCTGTCCCTCTGCCAGGTCCCTGGCTTATATTGAGTGGCGGTTATTGGATTCCAATCGGGTATGGGGTAGGACCCAGTACCTAGTAGACAGGGAGGGGAATAGGCCGGAAGAGTGATGTTAGGTACTGGCCAGGCACATCTTGGACCCGGAGCTCATTAGAGCCTTTAGGAGGGACCAAGAGGCTGGTTTGGGAATAGTGGGAGACATTCCAAGAAGGGGGGTACTGTAACAGCCAGGCAACCTGCTAGACCACCTAGAGCAAGGACTGAGTAATTAGGGCTGAGCGGTAGCAGCTGTGGGTACCCTACTTAAGGGGTGCTCACACACCGTTCGCTGCTTAGTCTTGAGGTCACGCTGCTAAATGCTCTGACTCAGCCGATAATTGCGGTACCCATTTCACGTCTTTGCCTTTCATAAATTGTTCTCCAGCATAAATATAAAAAAATCTTGAGTGTGTCTTACTCTGTGTGTTTAGGGAGGGGCGCAGGTGAGATTAAAGAAGGGAGTTTTTGCTTTCAGTTTTGTGGAGCTCTTAGTTTGTGTCATCCTTTTAAACTTTAGTTAGCATGGCCCTTATCCCTTTCAGTGGCATGTTAGTCTGGCAGTGTGGTGATTGAGGATCGAGCTTTAAAAACCAGCAGCAGAGCTTTAAAATCTCTCCTCAAAGATCCAGGCAGTCAGTGCAGTGTGTAAACAGGGGTGATATGAGTTCTCTGTGTTGTTGTTGTGAGGATCTGTGCTGCTGAGTTCTGTACGGGTTCTAGAGGATGGACTGTTTTCACCAGTAAGAAGATCATTACAGTGATCAACTCTGCTGAACAAACGCAGCAACAAGTTTCTCTGTGTCGCTCTAAGACAGAAAAGGCTGAACATTTTTTTCGAATAATAAAAAGCTACCTTAGTGACTGTTTATATGCAGGACAAAACAGAGCTCAGAGTCTAAGATCAAACCCAGGTTTCCCACTTCAGGTTTGGTAAATGAAGCTAAAGAGCAGAGCTTCTCGTAAAGCAACTTTTTCTGAGTTGTAGTACCAACAATCATCGTTTCAGTTTTTTTGTGATTTAGGTGTAGATAATATATGAGAAATATCTGACACACAGCTGGTAGACCTCTACAGAGATTTACCAGCACAAATGGAAATGTATAATTGTGTGTTGTCAGTATAGCTTTAAAAATTTAAGTGGTTCCTAATGACATCACCTAGAGGTAACATGTACAAAGAGAAAAGCAAAGGCCCTAAAACTGAAACCTGTGGGTTCAGTCCAGAGACCAGAGAATATACAGTACCAAAAGCTGTTAGTAAGTGGGTTGTTTTCCGTCAGGGTACAATTACACACTAAACCTGTAAGTGTGTATGAAATATAGAGTCTCATACATATTATGTTCATCTATAGTAATCCTTCATCATGGAATCAGCAGACTCTGGACCAGCTGGGTATCCTGCCCCTCTACCTCAATCAAGGCTTCTGGGGCAAGTTTAGCTCTGTACGTTAAGCTGTATAATTTATTATTCTTGTCTTTTTTGTTGTTTGTTATTTTTACCTTGTAAACATATCCTGTCTTTATCTAGTTTTTGATCTGTGTTTATCCAATGGTTGGGTGTGTTATAAAACCTTTATTCCTGTGTGTTTCTTGAAGATGACAGTGAAGACCTTCATGAAATCATTCTTTCCATTTCTGAAGAAGCAGAAAATCCAGAATGGGAAACTCAGAAGATTGTTTACAGCAGCTAACAGTTTTACAGCAAAAAGCACCAGAACACTCACAAAAGCAGGTATTACCACATTACACACTGCATCAACACATAGGGGTTGTAGGATTTGATTATGTCCACCGTTGATTATATGTGTCTTCACAATTACATTAAAAAACAAAACTGTTGGGTCCACTTTTTTTACTTGGATACAAACACTCAATGGTGAAGAACAGTGCTTTTTGACCATACCAGAGTGGACTGAAAGTGAAACCCAGACCACCCAGAAAGTCCAGCTTGCGGACCTGAAAGCATACTGAACTCACAGATTAAGTGGTCCTGGGTCTGGAAAAAACTCTTGTCTGAAAATGCTCTTAGAGAGACAGCAGAGCAAGCAGCCAGTAACACCTTACAGTATACTAATCTAGCAGTTATGAAAGCATGAACTAATCTTACAGCATCTTGAAGGTTCAGCACATGAAAAGCAATGTAGTTTGGGGTGCATGTTCCCCATCTCCAAAACCATACTACAAATGGGGCCTGTCTTCCTTCATCTCTTCATGGATGGCAGCTTACCATCTGAAGCTCAATCCTAGCAAGACTGAGCTGCTATTCATCCCTGCAACTACAGGTCCTCATCATGATCTCACCATCTCATTCAAGAACTCTCTGATTGTTCCATCTGAAGAGGCAAGAAGTCTCGGTGCAAACTTGACTCGGTCATGCAGGTTTCTCCTGTACAACATCCAGAGGATTCAACCCTCTCTCACTTGAGAGGCCACTCAGGTGCTCGTTCAGTCCCTTGTCATCTCAAGGCTTGACTACTGCAACTCGCTCTTGGCTGGTCTTCCTATGCAGGCCATCAAGCCTCTGCAACTCATCCAGAATGCAGCAGCTCGGCTTGTCTTCAATCTTCCTAAGTTCAGTCACGTCACTCCACTGCTGCGCTCCCTTCACTGGCTTCCTGCAGCTGCATCAGATTTAAAACTTTGATGCCTACAAAGCCAAAAATGGACCAGCCCCTCCCTACCTAATGGCAATGGTCAAAACTTGAACAAACATACTTTCTCTAAGTAGACAACAGAGCACTTTTTGTAAGTCGCTCTTTATAAGAGCACCTGCTAAATGCTGTAAATGTTTATCTGTAATTGTGGTACTTAATCAGAGTATCTTCAGAATTAAAGTGATTACGGTGAGTTATAAATCCTAAGACCGGAGAGGAGGAAAAGAAGAACAGCAAGGGGCTTAAAACCGGGCCTTGTGGGACACCACACTGCCCACTTTTAATGGCAATATTGTGAAGATAATACTTGGTTAAATTCTTGTTTTCTCCCTGTGTCTGACAGCATGCACAACAGGCAACATCACTGAGGCAACAATTGCAGACCCTTCATTCCCTCTCGGCTATGACTCCACCCAGTTTGATGCATGCTTGGACATTACATTCCTGAAAGACAACATGGCAATCATCACTGAGAAAGTGGTAGACACCAGCTTCCAGACAGTCATTCTTAACAAGTTAAACCAGGTCAGCATTACTGAAGACCTTCTGTATCGGATGATGAGTTTTTTTTGTGTATAACTTTACTGATAGTGTATGTTAGTTTGTATGCATGTCTACTATGATGCTGCATGCATGTGTTCCTCTTGCAGTGCTTTGCGTAACAGTTCTATTAGGTTTTTGATGGCCTGTCTGTGTGTGTGTTGTTGCAGTTGTTCCCATCAGGCCTTCCAGATGGTGTGGTGCAGATTCTGAAGACCGTGTCTCTTGTGGCCTCTGTTAGTGACATCAACAAGTGGAACATCACCACAATTGACACACTGTCCTCTCTGATGCATAATGGAGACTGGGCCTCAGATCAGGTAGAATGTCTATGAGTGCCTGTTTGTGGGATGGACTAAGTTGTTAGTGGTTGCTAGAACATTACTATAGAAACCAGCTGATGGGCATTGCTGGCTGTGAATTCACAGGCATCCACTAGTTGGAGCTTGTAGCATGGAGAAAAAGGCTCAAAAAGTCTATTAGCCTGGTTCCAAAGGGTGCCCTAAGTCCTGCATTCCATGTACATGATGGCATCAACATGCAGGCATAGCTGGCAAGAGATTTTGAGGGTACAAGGAATCTGGCAAAATTACGTTAGTGGTCATATTCGTTCTTTAAAATTAGTTGATTTGTTGATCTACAGTGGCACAATATTGATTCTATTGTTGTAGTAGTAGACTTGCTTACACTGGGCCCTTTCCACATCATAGTGTACCTGTTGAATAAGTTGATATTGCATGGCAATGGTGTCATATGCATCATGTTCGGGGGTATGCATCACTTTTGAGTGAGCCTCTCCCCTTCAACTTCCTGCCCAATGCCACTGCAGCTGGCATAAATCCTGTGCTTTCCTGCCAAGCTAGACTTCTGGCATGCCAGAACTCAGATCCACTTATCCCACTTTCTATGCTGTTCTTAGACACAGGAAGTGATCATGGTCTTTCCCTTTATGTCTCTAAGTAGTTTCTCCATCAGCCATTGAAATCCACTTCTCAAATCAAGTGTGCTGAATATGGATGCTCCATGTAGTGACTCTAGTATTTCTTGAATTTGAGGCATTGGATATGCATCCAGATGGGTTTTGGCATTTCGTGCACAGTAGTCCATGCAAAACCGCATACTGCCATCCTTCTTTGGCACCACCAGTGATGCCCATGGAGAGGTGGAAGGTCGAATGATATGTTTTTCCATGTCATCAATGTCTTGGCTGATTATTTGTTGTCTTGCCACAGCCATTTGTCTGTTGTGATGATCTGGTGTTGGATAACACCATTATGTTCCATCTCATCTGTGCCCACTGTTGGCCAGTCAAAAAGCAAGCTCTCTATTAGATGTCTGCTTTCTTTGGAAACATCTGCTGCATGTGAGCCACTGTTTACTTTGACACTGAAGAAATTCAGTCAGCTGTAGGGCAAATTGCCAAAATTCACATTCATTTAATGCTCTGCCAGAAAGTCCAGGTCACCAATTTGTAATGGTGGTGGTAGAACTACCCACACAGTCACTAATGAAACAATGACTTAGGGTTTAAAGCTAGCATGCCGTATACCCTGTGCAGATGTAACCACTCTCAAACCCAGATAGCATACACAAAGTGTATACGTGCAAAAAAAGCATCTGCAAATCCACACCAAAAGTGAATATACACGTAGTTCCTATATACACAGAAAAAGTCCAGAAACATAGTCTTCAGCCTACAAGAGTCTGTGTCTTGGATAAACAGATCAGCCTCACCAACATGCACTTTCATGGTGTTACGGGATGGCAGGGGGGTAGATCCAAATGCAGAGAATGAAAAAAGGTTTAAATGGATTAAGATCAAACCATGAACATGACAATGCGCCAACAGGAAGGGCAGGTGTGCTCAAAGGCAAGCATCAAAATAAAATAAAAAATAACCAGAAAACAAGGCATTCAAAATGAAATTAGGTAAACTTTGCTTTTTCCCTTTCCCTTTTTTCCTTTGGGAGCTGTTTCTCTTTTTAGCTGTCTTTTTTCTTCTTTTTGCTTTTTTTCCCTTTTCTAAAATACCATATCATACTGTACCGGTCACCCCTCTACAAAATTGTGACAATTTTTGCCAAAGCCTTAAATGCAGAGGTTAACAGGTGTGTCTGGTTGGTGCTGATTAGCCCATGGGCTTCTGGGAACTGAAGTTCCTTAGGCTATTAGCACCATCATCACCATCTGCTGACAGTTGGTGGCATGAGCTGGACCCTTACACATGGCGTTATTAAGTCCATGAGATGAAGATGGATGGTACGATAACAGGGGTGTAGTGCTGCTAGTAGGTTTGATTCCAAGGTTGATGCTGTACTAATAAACTGTATCCCCCTAAAGTTCCTCTGTGACCCTTGCCTTAGTTCCACAATCCATCCACCAATGCTCAGGGGTACCGGATTTTAACATCCAAAGCCATAAAAGTGAAGTCCTTATTGAGTTCTCCCAATCCTGGACTTTGTATGAAAAGCATAAATCACATAAGTTTGTTTGTTTGCTTAAAACCTACAATGAAAAAAGAATCCAAGTTGGGACAGGGCTTGCATTTCTCTGATGCCTGGTTTTGCTGTATGAGTTTGTATGGAGATGGAATGATATGTTTGTGTTTGTGTGTTGTAGAGTAAAGCAGTGATTATGAAGTATCTGAGCGTGGCTGGTAACACTCTGGGGACTGCTGAGATAAACACAATCGGCTCCAACCTCTGTTCCTTGGATCCCAGTGTCCTTAAAACCATCACTGCTGAAAGCCTGAAGTAAGTACACTTTCAGATCTGAACAATTCAACACAATGCTGGCCAAAGTGCTGTAATACAGTGAAAGAAGTCAGAAGAAGTAGGTGAATCTGCTGTCATGCTCTTTGGATGTTTGCACTTGAAATTAGACTGTAGGTGTTACATTTACCTTCTTCTGCCCTACCCCTGTTTCTGTTCTCTCTGGTTAAGCCCCACAGAAAAATTGAAATAATACATTAGTTAGGAGAGAATAAACACTACTATGGTATAATATCTACAGATATCTGATGTACATACACTATATTGCCAAAAGTATTCACTCACCCATCCAAATCATTAAATTCAGGTGTTCCAATCACTTCCATGGCCTCAGGTGTATAAAACCAAGCACCTAGGCCTGCACACTGCTTCTACAGACATTAAAGAATGGGTCACTCTCAGGAGCTCAGTGAGTTCCAGCGTGGTACCGTGATAGGACGCCACCTGTGCAACAAGTCCAGTCGTGAAATTTCCTCACTACTAAATATTCCACAGTCAACTGTCAGTGGGATTATAACAAAGTGGAAGTGATTGGGAACGACAGCAACTCAGCCACGAAGTGGTCGGCCACGTAAAATGACAGAGCGGGGTCAGCGGATGCTGAGGCACAGTGCGCAGAGGTCACCAACTTTCTGCAGAGTCAATCACTACAGACCTCCAAACTTCATGTAGCCTTCAGATCAGCTCAAGAACAGCGTAGAGAGCTTCATGGAATGGGTTTCCATGGCCGAGCAGCTGCATCCAAGCCTTACATCACCAAGCGCAATGCAAAGCGTCGAATGCAGTGGTGTAAAGCGCCGCCACTGGACTCTAGAGCTGTGGAGACGCGTTCTCTGGAGTGATGAATCACGCTTCTCCGTCTGGCAATCCGATGGACGAGTCTGGGTTTGGCGGTTGCCAGGAGACGGTACTTGTCTGACTGCATTGTGCCGAGTGTAAAGTTTGGTGGAGGGGGGATGGTGTGGGGTTGTTTTTCAGGTGTTGGGCTCGGACCCTTAGTTCCAGTGAAAGGAGCTCTTAATGCTTCAGCACCAAGAGATTTTGGACAATTTCATGCTCCCAACTTTGTGGGAACAGTTTGGGGAGTTTGGCCCCTTCCTGTTCCAACATGACTGCGCACCAGTGCACAAAGCAGCTCCATAAAGACATGGATGAGCGAGTTTGGTGTGGAAGAACTTGACTGGCCTGCACAGAGTTCTGACCTCAACCCGATAGAACACCTTTGGGATGAATTAGAGCGGAGACTGCGAGCCAGGCCTTCTCGTCCAACATCAGTGTCTGACCTCACAAATGCGCTTCTGGAAGAAGGTCTAAAATTCCCATAAACACTCCTAAACCTTGTGGAAAGCCTTCCCAGAAGAGTTGAAGCTGTTATAGCTGCAAAGGGTGAGCCGACATCATATTAAACGCTATGGATTAAGAACGGGATGTGGCTCAATTTCATATGCGTGTGAAGGCAGACAAGAGAATACTTTTGGCAATATAGTGTCTGTTGATGCCATATAAAAAATTAAACAAAATGTATAAATTGGGGCTAAATCTACCAGGATTAGCACAGCAGAGAAATGTAATGTTTATTTCTATAACTATAAACTCAGTAAAGTAAAATGCAGATATTTCAGTGCAGTACTACAGCATCACAAACATCTGCAGTTTGATACATGCATCACCACATTTCAGTTTAAAATAACAGTCACATTAAACATCTGTCTGATGCTGGTCAATGTTTTTAAAGGAATATTTGGCGATACTGGTATAATTCCAATATCGTTGTGCATCCCTTCTATCTACCAAACCGTGGATTTTCCAAAGAGTGGTAAATTTGTAGTTGGATTTAGGTGTTTAGAAGATTTATTTGTGAATTATTGAAGTTGAATACTTGTAATTTATGTTTTCAATAGAAAATAATTCCTTTTACATTTTTTTAAATTTGACAATTTTTCCATTCAGACCGTCTAACCCTCATGAAAAAGAAACAATAGAAAGGTTTTGCTTTCTAAAGGGAATTGGCTTAGTGGTTTCCTATAGAGACCAATAGTTTCTTGTACAACACTTTTGGATTCCACTAGGAAACCATGAAATGCATTTAGAATCAGCCATTGTTCACCTGTTAAAACATTAGAATCCTTTACACTGTGATGTCAACCCATTAAAAAAACCAGATCACATTGCAAAACCATCAGGAACCAACAGAAGCACTTAATGGTTAGTGTGTTTGTTTTTTTTTTCAGAAAAGTACTTGTTACCCATCTAAAAACAACAGTCAGTCACATGCCTGTGCAAATGAATTCACTGTTTTTATGAAAACATCATGTCAGTATAAAATAAAACTGCCCACAAATGTGCTAATTTGTCTCTGAGCGAAGACAAGCAGCGTCCATCAGTCACAAGCCGCCCAACAAGGAAAGCTTCATTTTTACCTTTATGTACTTGAGTATGTTTAAAATGTAGATACTCTCTGAATTTTACTGAAAGACATTTTTGGCTCCACACTTTTAACTGAGTAAGTAGTAAATGTGAAGTAATAACATTCATGCCCACTGAAACACCTGTGCTGGGAGAAGTGAATAGATGGGCTGAATGGATTTGCTGATTGGTTTCATTGCTCTACAGATTTTAGTGCTTTCTCATATGTAGCTGTTTGTGTCTCACAGGCAACAGCAATGTCGATTCACTTTGGCTTGTATGTTTAAAACTCCTGTAAAAACTCCTGAGTTTTCTTTCTTCCTTTCTGCAGGTCAGCGAACGCTGTGAATGCATCCTCATGTTCCATCGATCAGAAATCAGCTCTGTACAGCATCGCCAAGTCCTCGTTCAGCACTCAACGCAGCGACCCCACAGTTTACTACCAGCTCATCAGCTCTTACCTGGGTAACCTCGATACAACGACTATGCACAAGTTCTCATTTCACAGTAAAGCATCCTGGTTTTTAATCTCTGCAAAACATTGTGAAGTAAAAAACCAGATTTTCCATAATATAAAGACAGAATATGATGCACTTTTACAAATAAATTAAGCCAATCATAGTGCACCTTCCACTAAACCCCTCCCCTAAATACAGGATGCCCAGTCACAGCTTAGCAACAGAAACTAGGCCTGTGCAGCTCTGACCAGCTTTCAGAGTTAAAGAAAATGTCATAATATGGTGTTTTACATCAGGAGTTCTGGACGGGGAGTTTTCTCAAATGATGTCATAAGAACAGGAATGATAGAATATCTGGCAACACTTATTTTAATACTTAAGTACTAAGTGCTTTTATACTGAAGTACATTTAGCCCTTGTAAGTCTTGGGTTATTTTTTTAAATACTGATTTTGCCTTTATACACCACATTAAAAATTCCAATTCCAAATTTTACAGAACTCCTAAAAACAAGCTTAATATCTCTCTCTCTCTCTCTCAGATTCAGGCTTCTTCATATGACAAAAAATTTTTAAAAAGTTGAACGCATCCCAAGTCCTGTCCTGTTTGCAGACTTTTACACACTTGTTCAATTTTTATGTCAAATTTCTATTATTCTATCTCCATTTTTTCATGGTCTGTCCACATCACACAAGAACTAGCATAGCATTTCAAGCTAGCACTTTTGACAGAAGTTGACGCCAGTGCTCACCGTGACTTTGGACTGCGTTCATTTTCGACTTAGCCTGACTTTGGCTGACTCACATATGGTCACATATGGATGATTAACGGCTTTGCAACTCCTGAAACAGCACTTCAACAGTTGAAGAGCTTCCGGTGAAACTTCCTGTGATTGAGCAGTTTCAGCAGCATAAACAATACAGAGTTATTTCTCAAAAAACAGAATTTTCATCACTTTTTTAAATCATGTTTTGACATAGTATGTTAACATTGTTAAAGTTTTAAACATACCATTTACTGTCCAGGACTTAGAGTCCATATTTGGAAACTTAACTGCAAAACAGCCTGTTTTTAATTCATTTTTTGTGATGTCACAAAGGTGACACATTTACATACATTCAGCTACAGCAGTTTAGCTCCACCCTTCAGTCTACAGCAGTTTAGCTCCACCATTCAGTCTACAGCAGATCAGACTCACCCATTCAGTCTACAGCAGTTTAGCTCCACCATTCAGCTACAGCAGTTTAGCTCCACCATTCAGTCTACAGCAGTTTAGCTCCACCATTCAGCTACAGCAGTTTAGCTCCACCATTCAGTCTACAGCAGTTTAGCTCCACCATTCAGCTACAGCAGTTTAGCTCCACCCCTTCAGCTACAGCAGTTTAGCTCCACCCTTCAGCTACAGCAGTTTAGCTCCACCCTTCAGCTACAGCAGTTTAGCCCCACCCATTCAGTCTACAGCAGTTTAGCCCCACCCATTCAGTCTACAGCAGTTTAGCCCCACCATTCAGTCTACAGCAGTTTAGCTCCACCATTCAGTCTACAGCAGTTTAGCTCCACCCATTCAGTCTACAGCAGTTTAGCCCCACCATTCAGTCTACAGCAGTTTAGCTCCACCATTCAGTCTACAGCAGTTTAGCTCCACCATTCAGCTACAGCAGTTTAGCTCCACCATTCAGTCTACAGCAGTTTAGCTCCACCATTCAGTCTACAGCAGTTTAGCTCCACCCATTCAGTCTACAGCAGTTTAGCCCCACCATTCAGTCTACAGCAGTTTAGCTCCACCATTCAGTCTACAGCAGTTTAGCTCCACCATTCAGCTACAGCAGTTTAGCTCCACCATTCAGCTACAGCAGTTTAGCTCCACCATTCAGCTACAGCAGTTTAGCTCCACCATTCAGCTACAGCAGTTTAGCTCCACCGATTTAACCTACAGCAATTTAGCACCACCGATTCAGATTATAGCCCATACAGTTTGGCTCCACACCAACAAATAAGCATCAACATATAGGAAGTAAGATGGTTAATCATCCAGTATATGTTTGTTATCTAAAACGTGTTCAAAAATTGTAATTATCGATTGGAATTATAGCAATTAACCATCAGCTAATAGTTTATAGGTGTAAACATCAAAAGAGTCACAGAAAAGATTTGAGATCATTTTACACTCTGCTCATATAGATTTAATGCAATCAAACTTTAAGCATAATTTAGTGAGTTTATCAGGTTTGGTGTCCCTTTTGCAAATTCACTGTTTTCTGAATTTAAAATACTTGGAAAACTAATGTTTTTGTAGTTGCATAATTGCTGAACTTAATGAAATATATAATTCAACAGCAGCTGTGTCTTGAATTTAGTTTCAGATTGCACCAGAATTTTAATGCTAAAATCACTAAAGTGTTTTTTCCAGGAATAATGATGATGGACATTGTTACATGGGATTGGTTTCTGAATTTATCATCTTCGTCATGAGTTTTCATGTCTGAGAATTTTTACTGTATTTCATGTTACCCAGTCTTGCCAAATAAATAACTAATTTATTTTATGTATGTGTTTAGGTGGAGCTCCTCTGGAGGATATAATTGCTCTTTCTACTCTCAACATCAGCGTGGATATCACCACCTTCTTAAATCTGAACCCTGATGTGATCAAGGTATGATCTAGTTGACTGGAACAGAGTGGCTCTACCATACCCAGCTTCTTTAGTGCCAGTGATGCTGTTCACCAATGCAGGACAGAGCTGTTCTTGCCAACCAGAGAATCTGCTAAAGCTCACTTGGACAGATGATGTTATGCTTTTCTGAAAAAGAGGTGTTAGACTTTATCTGCTTAGTTTGCTGGTGCCTCATTAAATGGCCAAAAGTACCTGGACATTCACAACATCAGTTACTTCTCAAATTATTCTCAGAGCGCAATAAAATTTTATCGTAAAATCACTAAAATGTTCTCTGAGACAATACATTGATTTGTCCACCTAAATGAGCTTGTTGGATGTCCCATTCCAAAACTATGAGGATTAATATGGAGATGCCTTCATTGCAGCTATAACAGCTTCCACTGTTCTGGGAAGCTTTCCAGTCATCTGACAGCTACTGCACACAGTCTAAATTATACTGCACACTGTTTAAATATAACTGCAGCCATCTAAAGGCTCCAGCACTCAGCCTAAAGACTACTCTAGTTGTCTAAAAGCTACTGCACACTGTCCAAAGACTACTCCAGCCATCTAAAGGCTGCCGCACACCGTCTAAAGATTATTACAGCTGTCTAAAGACTACTGCACACAGCCTAAAGATTACAGCAGCCATTTAAAAAATGTACATCACACCATCGAAAGACCACTGCAGCCTTCTGAAGGCAACTGTATAAAAAGTACTGCAGGTGTCAAAAGACTACTGCACACTGGACCTTTGCACTTAGAACAGCCCCCACTGTTCTGGGAAGCTTTCCACAAGACTTTGGAGCATGTCTATGGGATCTTGTGCCAATTTAGTCAAAAGAGCATTTGTGAGGTCAGACACTGATGTTGGATGAGAGGACCTGGCTCTGTGGCTGACATCAGTGTTGAAAGCACATCCACGGCTTCATCCACCAGAAAATCTGAATCTCCAGACTAACTGCTTTCCTCACTCACAGCACAACTTCACTCCGTCTATCAGGACCGCTAGCCTCTTTTAGTGCTGTGCTATTAAGCTATTAAGACCAGAGGTGGTCTAATTTTAGGTATGAAGGGCAACAACACAGCTCTAATAAGGGTCCAGTACGGCGGGGCGCAGTTTGCAGCTGTGCTGGGAATACATGCTGTCTAGAACCATGTTAGCTTTATGGTCACTGCTGTGAGTGAGCGGGATGTCAGGCACCCAAGCTGAGATGGTATATATAAGAAGTATAAATCTAGTGCAAAAACGTGCTGACAAAATGTACTGTCAAATAGGCCCTTAAGTTGGATAACCAACTTAGGGAGACCTGTAGGGAGCAGCACTGCACTTGTGGGTTAGAATGCCATCCTTGATTTCTTCCAGACCTCCTTTGGTCTCTGACCCTCTCAGCAGTTAGGGCGCACACGTCTTTCTAATCAGAAGCTGGAAGCTTGTATACAGGAAGGCTGGTGCCTATACTGTGGGAAGTCTGGTCATTTATGTTCTGGTTGCCCTGAACTGGCTGGAAAAACTGGGGTCCATTGCAGGGAAGGAGGCCTGTAAGGGACCCAAACCAGTCCACCCAGACACTAGGACACTAGGTTAACTGGCATCCTCTAATAGTGTGATAATCTAGAGAAGAGACTTCAAGAGACCTTGAATCATTTGTATTCGCTTCAGCCATTGACAGTCACCCCTTGGCACTAGACAGGTTAAACAACAGACCTGGCCCTTCACTGTACAGCTGGGTCAGCACATGGAGCAGACTTCCTTACTGCTCATCCAGGCACCGAAGTGCCAGTTAGTACTAGCCTTTCCCTGGCTGCAATGACACAACCCTCACCTGGATTGGCTGACCCGGGTCTCTGGTGGGCTGGGGACTCCAGTGCAAGGGGTCATGCATTGATGGGTGAGGGTCTACCCTACCAGCTGGGGCGGGATTTTCTTTGTAGGGAAGAAGGATGGGGGCCTTGATTATAAAGGTCTAAACAACGACCTAATCAAGGACAATTATCCCTTACTAATGATGTCTTCAGTGTTTGAGGCATTGGAGCAGGCCTCAGTTTTTACCACTCTGCACCAGTGCAGTCCCTATAACCTCATTAGGTTGCACAAAGAAGATAAGTGGAAGACAGCATTTATTACTCCATCTGGGCATTACAAGTACCTTGCAATGAGAGTGACATCACAGAGCGGTCGCACCCCACATCTCTTTGTATTTTTCCACTGTTTCAGGCGAAACTTTAGTGCTGAGGCAGCCCCGTTGACCGCTCTTACTAAAAAGGCAATGGGTCGCATTCAGTGGACCCCAGAAGCCCAGAAAGCCATTAAAGATTTCAAGCGTTGTTTGACTTGCGCACTGGTTTTGCAGTTGCCCAATCCTGCTTTGCTGTTTGTAGTGGAGGTTGATGCCTCTAATGTAGACGTAGGGGCAGTGTTGTCCCAGCATTCTGAGGACAACCAGAAGTTATACTCCTGTGCTTTCTACTCATATCATCTTACTCCCACCAAACACAACTACGATGTGGGGAACCTTGAGTTGTTGGTGGTGAAGTTGGCCCTGGAAGAATGGAGACACTGGCTGGAGGGGGCCAAACATTCTTTCCTTGTCTGGACAAATCATAAGAATTTGCCACTCATACAACAGGCCAAACATCTTAACCCCCATCTGACCAGGTGGATGTTGTTCTTCAGTTGCATTGTTTCTACACTCTCTTTTTGACCCAGCTCAAAAAACATCAAGCTTGACGCCCTCTCCAGGCAGTAGGATGCACTCCCTGCTAACCAGTTTCCCGAAACTATTAATTGCAGATACATAATCATCGCTTTGTTATGTTGGCTACTGGAGTTGGCCATCCAGGAGGCTCTTCAAACCAAGCCAGACCCTGGGGGTGGGAGTGTTCCATCGTCTGTTAGGGCCCAGGTTCTCCAGTGGGGTCATTCCTTCCCGTTTACTAACCATCCAGGATGGACTCGTATACTGGAGTTCCTTAAAAGAATAAAAAGCCCAAAACTAAATCTGCAGGTCTGCTCCTCTGCCCATACCATCCAGGCCTTGGTCAATGATCTCCATTGACTTCATCACTGGCCTATCGCCATCTCAGGGCAATACAGTGAGTATGGTTGTGGTAGATCGATTTTTCCAAAGTCTGTAGATTTAAATCCCTACCAAAACTTCCCTATCTGAATAGTTGAGTATTCAGGGCAGGCCCTAGTTAAATATGAGATTTTGTGTTTTCAAAAGTCATGTAGTATACACCCAGCTTTAAGGAACTAGGCCTGGGGCCATATTACGGAAACATCTTAACTCTGAAATCTTATCTGTTTAGTTGGACTGGATTTGGACAGTTCCTAACTTCATAATCTCATCATGAACTCCAGATAAGAAAACAGCATCACACAAACATCCTAACTAGACTGAACCTCCTAAATCCTGTCCTAACTTTAGGATGAACCCCAACAGGGTCCTCACTTCTGTTTAAGGTCCGTTTCTATGGTTTTTAGGCAGCTGTGTCAGCAGCATAGTTCACTACCAGCATAATGAGCTCCATTTGTTTCTACTGTAAAACGCTGCTTTCACTGTGAGATGATTTTCTTTTCTAACTCTGCGTTTTAAAGATCTCAGACGCTGCAGACTCGATCTCCACCGCCCCTCTGATCACCTTCGTGTGTTAATGTTGATGATGAAATATTACAGTGATGGTGGTGAATAATGAGGAGACGGAGCTGAATGTGTGTCTGTTTATTAGGAGGAGTAACGTTAGCGCGCTCGGCTAAAGCGTTTGGGAAATGGAGACTGAAACTGGGGAGTAGCGATGCTCTGATAAACAGCAGGGGGCGCTCTCACAGCATTCACACCTTACAGTTTATCACACTTTAGTTCTGTTTGACCTTTTTTACATCAGTAACAGCAGCAGCAATTACATTTTTAAAATTATTGACATTCACATAACATATTGATTGTGTTTACATTTCAGCTGTGCGCATGTCATTGGTTGCTAGGTAACAGACATGCTAGGTGATTGTCGACTTCGATCGAGCAGGTTAAGATTTAAGTGGAGATAAGACGCTGTAAGATAAGATAAAAATCCTAAATTAAGGTTAGATTTGCTTCTGTCATACAAATTTGTGAGAATCTTATCTTGACCTGTCAGATCTTAACTGAAGACTAAAGAGAGGAGGTTTCTGTAATACAGTCACTGGTATTAACCGTTGGAAATAAATTAGTGAAACATTTTAAAAAGTTTATATATTTTTTTTTCTGTACTGAATGATAACATTTTTGGAAAAGCTCTAAGGCTGTGATTGTTTATGTTTGTGTTTCAGGCCCTGAATGTGAGCACAGTGATCAGCCTGATGGGACAAAACAAGGCTGACCTGAAGCTGTTTGAGAACACCACAACGGTCAGGATGTGGGCGGCTCAGCAGTACAATTCTGATTTGGCGGTACTCGGACTTTCAGGAGGCAAAGCGGACCCCGTCAGCTCTACGGCTGCACCGGCCACTACAGTCACAACACTACTAACTAACACCACCATCACACAGACCAACCAGACCGTCAACGCCACGACGGGTAAGACACTGTTCATCAAAACCAGTCATTCATGGAAGAACCACACAGCACTGAGCTACAGAGAGGGGGAAACAGGAATTCAGACAGTTTTGATGCCTCCTTTACATTTACACATGTAATGTCTTTGGCTTTGTACTTGTAAAGAGTGTAAACAAATATATTAAATTAAAAAAAAATTGCTGAACAGTAAAAAATCAGACACCACAACTTAATAACATTACTGCTCTGCTGCAAAGTTGCTGTTGTTGGCATCTACAGTAAGAAGTAAATAACCTTTTGCAACATTGCGTTTCAGTTTTGCACATTATTTGGAAGTTTTTCTTTAATACCCTTTATTCTGAAATTGACAGAACCATTTGCATGCATAAATGGTTCTTTGCATGGTGAAATAGTTCTTCAGATTTATGAAGAATGTGTTGTATATGGTCCTATGTAGCACCACAAAGCCTTCAGCTACTGTTTCTGAAA